TCTGTCATCTGTGTGTTTTGTGGCTTCCTTGTCTCTTCAGTGGCTCCGCTGTGCTTCCTTAGAAGGCTGCTTTGCCAAAGGCTGAGACCACGAGGATGGGGAAAGATTTGGGAGGGCTTATCTTCTCCTGTCTTGGCCCTTAGTGTCTGGTACCTAAACCCTTAGGCTCTTTACTTGAGTAAAGTGAAAAGAATGCACTTGAGTGTGCAAAGAAAAGAATGTTTTTAAAGAGAACCTTAACGGCAACATCTTCTAGCTTTCATATGTTTAAATTAATGTATTTTTAAAACCTGGCAATGCCTATGACTAGCTTGATCTTTTAACATGTTTTGTTTTATTTAGTGAACTTTTCGTTGTCGCTGCTAAATCCAGGCAAAATTCTGGAAGAAGAAATGACTAGGTAATTTATATATATGGTGTACCTTTCTTTTAAAAGTTTCAAATTACGGAGTTGTAAGAATATAAATATAAAATGTGTACTCTTTACCCAGATTCACCTATTATTATAATGTTTGCTCACAACTCCCAATTTAAAGTAAGCTGCACATATCATGGCCCTTTTCTGCAGTGTGGCTCCTAAGAATAAGAATATTTTCTCATGTAATCACAGTACAGCTATGAGCTTAAATAACTTTTAATACTTTTATCTAATATAACATCTGTGTTTCAATTTTGTCATTTGCTCCAATAATGTCATTAATGACATTTTCTCCTCCTTCTAGTTTCTCAATAGATATCTCTATGCCCTGTAAGCATGATGTTTGTATGTCTACACAGCAAAGTTGCTGATTGTAGTGACTGCTATCTATATGCTAAAGGAGACCTCAAAGGTGACTATCTGGAAGCAGTTTGTAAAATTAGATAATAAAAATTTGAAAGTATTGAAATGTACTTATTATTTTTTATACTAACTTTCTACTAATTTGGTAAAATCTTAGTTTAAATTAGTTTAAATTCATGACATTTTAGCATATTATTTTAAAATTTTTCAAATTCTGACAAATAGGAAGGAAGTTTTTTGGTTCTTTTTATAAAGACTGTGGAAAAACAATATGGAAAGGACTATTTCACATGTTCAGTCTGATTATTCCTATATTTGTAATATGTAAATATTAGTGAACTTTTCAGTACAATAAGATATACCAGTCTAGAATATAATTATGAGAGGAGTTAAATTATATCCACAAATTATCAATATCATTTAAAAGTGAATCATTAACTTTTTTTGCAGTTAACAACAAAAATTTATCCATTTTCTTTGGCTAACAGTTCAAGTAAACAGATTTGCCATCATGGAACTTATTATTTTATAATTTAAGAAAAAAAAATAATGTCTGTTTGTTATAATGTCCTGTACAGTTTTTGTTATTAGTTTAATAAATTGACTAATTTCCAATTCTGAAAATTTCTCCTAAAAGAGATGAATAAAGGATGGTAGGCCTGGTGCTGTGGCTCACACCTGTAATCCCAGCACTTTGGGAGACTGAGGTGGTTGGGTCACCTGAGGTCAGGAGTTTGACACCAGCCTGGCCAAAAGGGTGAAACTCCGTCTCTACTAAAAATACAAAAATTAGCTGGGCATGGTGATGTGTGCCTATAATCCCAGCTACTCAGGAGGCTGAAGCAGGAGAACCACTTGAATCCAGGAGGTGGAGGTTGCAGTGAGCTGAGATGGTGCCACTGCACTCCAGCCTAAGTGACAGAGTCAGACTAGGTCTCAGGAAAGAAAAAAAAAGGATGATATTTAATAGAGCCTTTCTCTTTTTTTTCAGATATGCATATTACTACTCAGGATTGGGTGCTGGAGTTCTTGTTGCTGCCTATATCCAAGTTTCATTTTGGACTTTGGCAGCTGGTCGACAGATCAGGAAAATTAGGCAAAAGTTTTTTCACGCTATTCTACGACAGGAAATAGGATGGTTTGACATCAACGACACCACTGAACTCAATACACGGCTAACAGAGTAGGTGCATTATTAATGTCACACTTTAGTAAAGAAATTAATTGCTATGTGAAAATTTGTCAAGGAAACATTTTTAAATGAAAAAAAGTCCTAGACTGAGCATCTGATCTATATTAGAAATTGATCATCTGGCAGCCATGTCTGGCAGCATCTATAGCCTGTGCCATTGCATGTTGGCTTTCCCCCAAGCGGTATGGTAGGTTTATTTGAGGACCAAGTTTACAGCTTATAACTGTTTATTTCTCATGGAACTTTCTACTGCAGGATCTGACAGGTGCTAGGCTCTCAAAAAAGATGGCTGAATGAATGAATAAATGATTGAATTAATTTACAAAGAGACTTACTTTAGTAATTGTCGACTCTTCACTTATCCAACAAACATTTGAGGGTGTTTCATGTGCTCAGTACCGTTCTACATGTTCATAATGTGTTAGTGAACAAAGTACAGATCTCTGTCCTTTTGGTGCTTACATTCCAGCAGGGGGAGATAGATGATAAACTTTCCTGATTGGGAGTCCTGGCAATGGCATAGTGAACAAATAAGTCAAAAAAAAAAAAAGGAGGGAAGAGCAAGACATTTAGGGCCTTATAAACCTCCTCAAAGACTTTAGCTTTTGCCCAGTGAAATGGCAGCTGTTGGAAGTTTCTGAACTGAGGAGTAACATGGGCAGACTTGCATTTTCAAAAGATCACACTGAGTGCCTTGTTGAGAATAGACTAGGTTGAGAACAGGGACAAGGGTAGAAGCGAGGACCTCTTCCCAGTTATTTCCCTATAGTAAAAATACAGTAATACTTCCCTGTTACTCTTCCTTATTACTGTTGTGATGGGTTTTTTTTTTAATTCTTCCTTTAAAACAGGTTGATTTATATGCTCAAAATGTTAATACTTCTCTCACAGGATTGACTCAGTAGTATCGACTTTAATGATACTAACTTATTAGAAGCATTGGCTAATCCTGAATTTCTTCCTTTGTGCGGAGTTTAGGTGGGGAAGATGTTACTCAAGAGGCTAAGACTCTGAAAGGGGCTTGCAGTCAGTGAACAAATTTTATTTGTCTATGTGTTTGATGGATGTCTACTTCATCTTTCCAACTGAAGACCTCCTGCCTGTAACCACTTAGGTGTGATCTTTTTTAGTGACATCTCCAAAATCAGTGAAGGAATTGGTGACAAGGTTGGAATGTTCTTTCAAGCAGTAGCCACGTTTTTTGCAGGATTCATAGTGGGATTCATTAGAGGATGGAAGCTCACCCTTGTGATAATGGCCATCAGCCCTATCCTGGGACTCTCTGCAGCTGTTTGGGCAAAGGTATGTGAAAGCTGGGCATTTTTATGTGTATTAACCGCCGCACACAGTTATCTTTAATATGCAGAAATCTAGTACTTGTACCTGTGCAGGTCTACATTAAATGTCAGCTGAAACTACATCCAGAAACATGGTGTTAATATGGTGCTTTAGTAAGGAAATTAATTTTTAACGTAATTCAAAATGTCACAGGCCAGGTGCGGTGGCTCATGCCTGTAATCCCAGCACTTTGGGAGGCCAGAGCATGTGGATTACTTGAGGTCAGGAGTTGGAAACCAGCCTGGCCAATATGGTGAAATCCTATCTCTACTAAAAATATAAAACACTAGCCTTGCATGGTGGCACACGCCTGTAATCCCAGCTACTCAGGAGGCTGAGACAGGAGAATCACTTGAACCTAGGAGGCGGAGGTCTCAGTGAGCCAAGATCATGCCACTGCACACTGTAGCCTGAGTGACAGAGCGAGACTTTGTTTCAAAAAAAAAAATCACAGTTCTTAGTTCAATTACCTTTAGTTAAAGAAGTGAGATTTTAAAATATAACATTACCCTCAAATTATTGCATGAATATAACAATTTTAAATAGAGTTTGAATTTGTTCTATTTATTTTAATCATTACCTGTGATGGTTAAGTAGCACTCTGCCAGTTTTGCCTTATAATAAAATACACAAAATGTGCTCTGCTTCGGCCAACACTTCAGAGTTGAGAAATTTTACCGGCAATTTTTGCTCTTCCTGGGGTTGATGATTTACACAGTGAACTATTTGTCTCTCTTTCGTTTTGATTCTTCCTTTGCTTTTCTCCTGAAACATCTTGTTTGGCTGTCTTTTTATTTATCAGAATGCCCATGAGAAGGTCTGGAAGTATTGTTTTTATAGTAATTAAAAGTTGTGGGCTGGGCACGGTGGCTCATGCCTGTAATCCTGCACTTTAGGAGGCTGAGCTGGGCGGATCACAAGGTCAAGAGATTGAGACCATCCTGGTCAACATGGTGAAACCCCGTCTCTACTAAAAATACAAAAAATTAGCTGGGCATGGTGGTGCACACATGTAGTCCCAGCTACTCGGGAGGCAGAGGCAGGAGACGGAGGTTGCAGTGAGCCGAGATTGCGCCATTGCACTCCAGCCTGGTGCCTGGCGACAGAACGGGACTCCATCTCAAAAAAAAATTTTTTTTGACATACTAAAGGAAAGAATGGTAAATCCTTTCAAAGCAGTAAAGTTTTATTTTATTTTACCTTACAACTAGCAGAGAAAAACAGTAGATGTGGAACTTGACAGTGTTCCCAAGAATGCTATTTACAGAATTATACGTGGATTTTCCTTTTTTCCTGACTACTCTTGGGGAGCCTATCACCAGGGTGGGTCAGATCTAGTCTTTGTGGGGTGCAGAAGCAGCCATTGGATCTAGAAGACTGGCATTTGCTACATGACTTTAATGTTTCCTAAAGGACAGGGTTTGGGAAGAAAAAGTAGGTTAAGAGTTGACCAGAGTGCCTTTAAACTTTTCTCCCATACAGAAGTGACCACTGTTTCTTTTCTGTTCAGATACTCTCGGCATTTAGTGACAAAGAACTAGCTGCATATGCAAAAGCAGGCGCTGTGGCTGAAGAGGCTCTGGGGGCCATCAGGACTGTGATAGCTTTTGGGGGCCAGAACAAAGAGCTGGAAAGGTCAGGAAGGTTCTTGAGCCACTGGTTCAAAGAACGCATTTTTACATTTTGTTGCTCATTCTTTTGTGGTATGTGTTTATATTACCTTCCCTTTCCTAATCTTAACCTTCTCTCACAAAATATAAGCACCCTTTACTGAGGGCTGTAGTTGAATGTCAAACTCTACAGCAAGGTTCTTAACCTTTCATGCTCTATGGACTCTTTTGGCTATGAGATAATACAAATAGACTTGCTTGTTTTTAAATGCATAAAACGAAATATGCTAGCCCTTTGGAAGGCCAAGGCAGGAGGGTAGCTGGAGTCTAGCAGTTTGAGAGCAGCCTGGGCAATGGGTAAGACCCTGGCTCTACAAATTTTCATTTTAATTAGCTGGGTGTGGTGGTGTGCACCTGTGGTCCCAGCTACTTGGGAGGCTGAGGCAGGAGAATGGCTTGAGCCCAGAATGTCAAGGGTGCATTGAGCTGAACTCCAGCCTCCCAAGTATGATAGAGTGAGCCTCTGTCTCAAAAAATTAAAATTAAAATAAAAAAAAACCCAAAAATAAATAAACAAACCCCCCCAAAACACAAATAAGTAGGGTTATAAAGGAAAATAATTATATTAAAGAATACTTATCAAAATAGTTTTATTTTATTTTATTTTATGCCTTTAATGACTATGAACTGGAATATAGAAGAGAAAAACCTGAGAAAATATCGACTTCGCAGTTACAGCCCAGAATTCTTTGTAGGGCCTTGTGGGTCCTCCATAACAATGAGGAGGGCTTCCCACCCAGGCCTCTGGCTTTCAACTTTAATGATCCAGGATAAACCTGGAAAATTGATCAGCAGCTGGAGGCATGTTGCAAACTCTTCTCTGAAAAAATTACCAAGGCATGAACGACATATGAAAAGCTATGTATACATCTTTAATGTGTATATCTCAATGAGTTTGGGGATAAGCACACACCTGTGAAAAAGGCTATTCTGCTCTACTTAAATGAAAATAATTACTCAGTGTTTTACTTAAATAACAATATCCCCTAATATAGTTGAAGTATGATTCCATGTGAAGTATTTTCTTTGGCTGTTCTATGGAACTCTTGATACTCAGAACTCTTGGATATAAAAATTCTCTGGAAATTCTCCAATATTAAAAACAAAGTGTCCCTTATTCCCCCCTTTTCATTTTCTACTCTTCTATTCCATAATGCCACTTCAAAACCAACATGTTTCTGGTTCTCTAACCTCTTCCTTTTTTCTCTTTCACTGCTGCTTCCTGTACACAATAGTCCACACAGACCACACTAACCCTCAGTTGGACCACAGGATGTCAGTGTAATCAGTGCTGCTCTGTTAGTCCCGGTAAGCGAGCCGCCTAAGCGAAGGTAATTACAGTGTGTCCGCTGCTGTCACTAGAGCTGTGGGTCACACTGGGCAGACTCAAGTCTTCCTGCCACCCCTTGAGGCCAAGCCACACAGGAGAAATCACAGCGCTGGCCGTGTCCTGCTGGCTGCCCCCAAAGATGCAGCTGTGCTCCATGAACGCAGGCCCCAACCAGAGGAAAGCACTCTGAAGAGCTGGGTGCTTTATGCAATAAAAAAGACAAACCTTCCGGTGGCAGAATATATTTTTAAAGAACTAATGAATTTCCATGTTTTATTTGGTTAAACACTGAAAGTGGTGTTCCTGTGTTTTTTTGTCACAAAGAGAAATACCCTAATTTGAGTGATATTTTCACAAAGTATCATTGTATATCCAATGGATTTTTTTTTAATTTCAGGGAGCCCAAATGAAATTTTACATACCCTCTGGGTCTGGCATGGAAAAGTAGACTTGATTTAAGTTGATGTAAAAAAATATTGTAATTTAACAGAACCATTCTAGACATTTTAAACTTTATATCAAATGCTAGCATCCGGTAATAATGCATTTGAATTATGACTCAAAAAATATGATAGCAATATAATGAGCAAAACTCAGGAAGAGATAAAAGTTGAACACAATGAGACTAATATAATAGTAAGAGAAGTGATCAGGCTTGCTAACTATGAAGCAGCTACCATATGCTAACTACTTTCTATAATTATCTGTCAACCTCACAATTACTTGCAAGTTAGGAATTAGTAAAAAATTGAGTAAGAACTCACATTCCATAAGTATTGACTACCTTATAACCTTGTACATAGCTTGACAGATGAAGGTTAGCCTGATTTTTAAAAAATCAAAGAGAGAAGCTGAGGTTTATATACAACATGTAAAATTTTCATCCCTCACCCAGTGGGCAATAGGAGGATTTTCTTTTCTCCAGAGAAGAGACATTGACCTGAGTTAAGAATCTGTTTATGAGTTCCAGTGGTGTTTACAATCAATTCTGGTTTTTTTGGTTTCTATCCTTCCCTCTTAACCCTGAGTTGTGATACTGGCTGTGAAGGTGATGGAGAAGCTCTTCCATATCCTAGGGTGAGCCCTCAATTCGGCACCAGCCACAGGAACATTGGTGGGCCTGGAAGGGATGAAGGGAAATGGATCAGTAAAGAGAAGGCTTGGATTTGTTCTAGGCCTGGCTGATTCTGAACTAGTTCAATTCCCAAAGAGCTGGGTTTCACCATGGGTTCATTGCTTTGACTGACTTTGTTACTTAAACCTCCACCTATATAGGAGCTGAGTATGACTTGGATTATGGATCGTTATTCTTAATTAAAACGTTTTCCCTCTCATTTTTCCGGTAGGTATCAGAAACATTTAGAAAATGCCAAAAATATTGGAATTAAAAAAGCTATTTCAGCAAACATTTCCATGGGCATTGCCTTCCTGTTAATATATGCATCATATGCACTGGCCTTCTGGTATGGATCCACTCTAGTCATATCAAAAGAATATACTATTGGAAATGCAATGACAGTAAGTAGTTCTCCTAACATTTATGAATAATATGAAAACCATATTTCTCCATCTACCTTCTCTTTTCTTTGATATTCTTCCATTTTGAAAGATGAGCATGACCATAGGCTTTTGTTTTCGGTGAATCTTTCCTGTCCAGTGGGCAAAGCTGGGTTTCTAGAACATACAAGGCATAATTATGAGTGTGGATAAGAAAATAGCATGTGGTTAGACCATTTGTGAAACATATACAATGTATAAAAGGAAATAAAAATAGGATGAATTTATGAATAAATAAATATGGATGGGAACCATCCTCCCTCTGGTGAGTTTTATTATATAAGAAAGTAAGCATCATTATTATAGAACAGGTCATTGTACAAGAGAATGTTAAATTTATATCATTTAAAACAATCAGCTTTCTGAAATGCAAGAAGAGATGTTATGTTAATTTTTCTTATTCATCAAAATGAAAATAGCTTCCTTTTATGATTACTAAAATAACATATACTAGTTTTATGAAGGATTAGGATACAGAATTCTTGAAATTAAAATTACTTATAATCTAATAATTTGTATTCTCTTTTTTTCTTTCAAAATTGGGATCATACTACATATAACTTTTGTAACCATATTTATGAACTACCAATATTTTGTGACCATCTTTCCATGTCAGAGACAGTCAGAACAATATGTAACTATTTAAATCGAAATCCTTTAAAATCTGTACTTCCCTATCTTGTTAAAGTGAGGATTTGGTCTTTTGATGATAGCTTGGGTTATTATATAAAGTGAGTGGTTTTAGAATGCTTTATACAGTTATATCTTCATACTTCCTTGAGGGGTCATGGGTGTTTGGATGGGTGAGCCCTCATTACTGCTGAGTCTATTTTTTCTCACTTCCAGCTTCTCTCTGGCAGTCAGCTTGGAAGCTTGCCACCCTTTCTTCACTTCCCCCTTTACTATTGGTGTTTTATGAAGAAGGGAAGTTGAATCCTGACTCTACTATTCACCTTTGGTGATGAGTTTGTCCTCTCTGGCTTTAGTTTCCTCATTCGTAGTGTGTGGACAATGACACTTATTCTGTAGAACTGAGAGTGCTGTCCCCAAAGGGAGCCTAAGCAAAGCCCTCTGCATAAAGGGCAGGAACTCTATTGCATTAACCTTCTAGCATCTATTTTGGTGGACATTATTTTTCTTTCTAACTGGTCTTTGTCTGTATTGCAGATGGGGGATAGATATTTGACTGATATTTGGGTTATGGGTAACATGAAGTGTTGCTGTGTTTTGAGAAAATCCAACTTATATGCAGAAGTTTTACCATGTCCTGAGAGAAAGAAATAATTTGTCTTCACTTATGTTTTTCTCAGTTAACTTATTCTATTAATATGGATTCCTGAAACTGTATTCTGAGCTTCATTATAGCAATTCATTTTACACAGTTATTCTGTACTTGTATGCTATAGTACAGAATAATTGTGTAAAGGAATTGCACATGGGAGTAATTTTGTGTTTTATGATGTGCAAACTACTTTTTGCGTAAAAAATATGTGTGACATGGTGCTTTTTAGGAACACTATATAGTGCCAAAATCTGCCATGTTTTATATTGAACAGTCTATGTAAGTTCATGCATAGTTAGAGAAAACTACATAGGATGGAATAACAATACTAATTGAAAATGTTTCTCTCTGGTGGCATTTGTGAGTGAGTCAATGAAATAGGTTTGAAAAATCTTTTTAACTCTGTATATATTCAGGAGAAAACTGGTTAGTTTGAGAAAACAGACAACAAAATTATTTTTGAGGTTGGAGAAACCCATTCAGGCAATAAAATGCTATATTAACCTTGCAATTGTTGCTCTTTTACTAAAAATAATTTAAAGGATAAACTTCAACTGAATCCTTTGTTTAGTATGTTACATATAAATCATGTTTTAGATAATAATGAATGCCAGAATGTGACTTACAACTTTTCCTTATGTTATTTTGCTTAGGTCTTTTTTTCAATCCTAATTGGAGCTTTCAGTGTTGGTCAGGCTGCCCCATGTATTGATGCTTTTGCCAATGCAAGAGGAGCAGCATATGTGATCTTTGATATTATTGATAATGTAAGTTATTTATTATTTTAATGACAAAAGAAGTCTTTGAGCTCATGTAATTAAATTTGGCTTTAGGTTGCATATTTTTTGAATCAACTACATTGAATAAGTTGTACTGACTAAAGTGACATTTAATTATATGAAATTAATGACCTCAGTAATAAATGAAAGAAAATACCTCTTACCAATATTTTAAAATGTATCTTTAGATAACATAATAATACTGATCTCATTTTGGAAAAGTACATCTGCACTAGTGCAGAGCAAAGATGTTTCTCTCCCTAGTTTTTGTCTTTTTCACTTTCATGTTGTAGCCAGACTGAGAATCCTACAATTTCTATATAGGATAAGGTAGTAGATAAATAATTGGTAGGACCAAAATTGGCAGTATATTTTGCTGTGGGTTGCCCTCCCTCCAAAAAAATTATCACTGCACGTTCGGTATGGTTTTAAGTCAGGTATACTGAATAAGTTGAACGGACTAAAGTGAGAAAGAAAAAGTTTTGATGTGAAAAAGTATGTCACTGCATCAAAGATTACAAAGTAGATAACTGAAATTTGATCCTTTGATCTAAGCAACCTTTACTTTTTCATTGATCCAAGTCATGAGAAAAATTGCTAAGTTTCTGATTGTATTAAAAGTTTACATTATTCCTAAATAACTGCTATAATCAATCATTCAATCTTCTCAATTCCATCTATTACATTTATTATTTAAGAATAAGCTAATTTTCACTAAATGCTAAAATACCTGGCTATAATATATATCCATTATAGTATATTTTTGTTATTACACTTGTATAAATATGCATATCTGACCATTTAGAAAATTTATGAGGATATGCCAAAAACTTAAAGGGAAATAGTGTATGAAATGAAATGAATGAACATCTCTTATGTACTTTTCAGGAAAAGACTATTTTCCGAAAAGGAATATTTCTTTAAACAACACACACGTATATACACACATTCATCACCTTGGGTTTTTCTTATATAAGGGGCTTGTGACATTCCAGGTCCTATTTTTGGAATTTGCTGAATCATATTCCTTAAAAATGCAACTTGTTTGTCCTATGATGTCATTAAATTTTGTTTTATTTAGAATCCTAAAATTGACAGTTTTTCAGAGAGAGGACACAAACCAGACAGCATCACAGGGAATTTGGAGTTCAATGATGTTCACTTTTCTTACCCTTCTCGAGCTAACATCAAGGTACTGTAAGTAATATTTATAGGAATTCCTAACTGAGGTTGATTGTTGAATCATTTTAAAGAATAAAATCTCTATTATTTTGATATTTATGTGCTTTTTCATTTGGGGGTTATATTCCCCTATTTGAGCCTTCTTTTTTTTTTTTTTTTTTTACAAATTTCAAACTGAATTGAATTACTACCTTTTTAGAGCTTTCTTGTGAAGTGTGTTATTTTTCTCGTTTTCCTAACAGATCTTGAAAGGCCTCAACCTGAAGGTGCAGAGTGGGCAGACGGTGGCCCTGGTTGGAAGCAGTGGCTGTGGAAAGAGCACGATGGTCCAGCTGATACAGAGGCTCTATGACCCTGATGAGGGCACAGTAAGTGGGAAGAACCAAGCCTTCCAGAGTGGGAAGCTGGATCCAAATTAGCCCTTTGAAATTGGTTTTTCAGTAACAAGTTTGCAGGTAAATCCAGTTTTAATAAAAAGCCTACAGAATGGCAATGCATATGGATAATGTCTTGACACCCTTGGACTGTTTTAACAAATGTATTAAATAAAAATCATAAAAGGCATGGAAGCTGGACAATGTTCTCCTTGGTTTCGACTAAGCTTTCATAACCCAATAAATTACTGCAAAACAGTCTATGAATCACTGAGAGGATTGCTTTCAATGCGTTATTGGGTTTGGTCAAACATATTCCATATAGCAATTGTTGGCAACAATTGATGACAATTAAGGTCACCAGATATTTTAGGACAGCAATTAAATTCATCCAAGACAGCTGAGTTTTCTTAAACTTTGGAATATCTAAGGGGAAAGTGGCATAGTCTCTTAAGAAACTAGTCTCTTGAAAAACTTCTCGAAACACAGGGGACAGTAATAACCTAGGGTATGTTTTTTGCCATTTAGAAGTTTTGTTATAAATTTGAATTTACAAAAAATTGTAACCAGAGAATTCACAGATCCTTCACGCAGATTTAGATTGTTTATATTTTGACCCACTTGCTTTATCATCTTCTCTTTCTCTGTGTGTGTGTGTGTGTGTGTGTTATATATACCCTTATACTTCATAATATATTTCCTAAAAAGGACTTTCTCTTAGACCGACCACAAAACAATGACAAAAATCAGTAAGTTTAACATTAACGCAGTACAAATCCACAAGCTATATTCAGAATTTCCTCAGTTGTCCCAACTTTAGGGCATTGAGTTTTGATATTAAAATGGATTATAATTCAGTAATTGAGAAAACAGAAGATTATAAAGTACAAAGTAAAAATAATGGCATGTCGAAACCAAAAATCATAAAAAGGCATTGAGCTAGAACAGAGATCTCAAGAATTAATATATAATTTTCTACAGTGCATGGAACTATTTACTTGATTTAATACAATTAATATTCTTGGAAAAAATATGATATTACTATGGGGGAACATAGGCCTGTCCCTCATTTACTAAAGTAAACTCTGGATTGGTTCAAATGTAAATATTTTTCTTTATTTTTTAAAAAGAACCTAGTAAAATATTAGCCTTTGAGGACAAGTGATCTAAAAAATTTTTTTAAATTATTATTGGAATAATTCACATTTTTAAAGAAAGCATATGTTAACAGAAAAAAAAATGATCTTCAGAAATTCTGTAACTCAGATATTCACTGTTCACATCATAATTTAAAAATTTTCTTATCACTGAAATAATAGAAAAATGCCCAGTGGTATAGTTGATTAATTTAGTTGTTCCTTAAGCCTCTTTCCAATGAAAGGCAAGAAAACTATGATAAAAGAAAGCAAGAAAGGCCTAACATGGTGGCCAGTGCCTGTGATCTCAGCACTTGGGAGGCTGAGTGAGGTAGGAGATTCACTTGAGGCCAGAGTTTGAGACCATCCTGGGCAACATAATCAGAGTCTGTCTCTACAAAATATTTTTTTAAATAGCCAGCCCTGGTGTTGTACACCCATAGTCCTAGCCACTTGGGAGGCTGAGGCAGGAGGATCACTTGAGCTTAGCAGTTCAAGTCTGCAGTGAGCTATTGTTGCACCAATGGTTGTGCCACTGCACTCCTCCAAAGTCTGGGTGACAGAATGAGACTCTGTTTCTAAAATTAAAAAAAAAAGAAAGTAATAAATTGGCGCAAAAGATTTATTTTATATATATGGAAAAAGTATTACATTTAATATTAGAGAAATTAATATGAATATATGAAGGCAACCCTGCTCGTTATAGAATATGAACATGAAACTCTCTAGAATATATACAGATTTGCAAAAAGTTTCAAGAAATGGTCAACTTTACTTATAAATACACAAAATCAAAACAGATATAAGTTATCACCTCTTACCTATTAATTAGAAAAAAACATTAAAATGATAAAACCCAATGCTAGTAAATTATAATGAAGCAGATTTATATATTCCTGTTAACATTGTAAATTATTAAAATGTTTTAAGGGAATTATTTAGCCTTTTTTCAACGAGCAATAGATGCCCAGCAACCACCAGTCATTGTACATGTAAGCAATTGTTGTCAAGCGGGAGAAAATAAATCATACTCTTCAAGTTAGTAATTCTCTACTTTTGCAATAAATTTTGAAGGAAGCCAAATATTTAAGGGAGTGGAAATGTAGTAAATTTTGGTATGTTAAAAGTAGCAAAACATCATACTGCCATCAAAATGATATGTAGACCAGGAAGGTAAGTGTGCCTTTTTATTTAAATTTAATATTGTATTGGGACATAAAACTAATGACATGCCAAAAATATCAAACCCAAAATAGTTTATAGCAAATAATCTGTCCATGATAAAAACTGTATGTGTGAAAATAAATATCAGGAGAGAACATAAGCTTTTCATTTTTGTTCTTGCATATTGCTATTTCATTATTATTTCTAAACACCAAACTAAGTTAAATAGTAGGTAAGATGTTTTTCATAAATGGTTCTGATACTTTAGCTATTAGATAGTTAAATACTTAATAGGAAATATTTTTTCTTTCAGATTAACATTGATGGGCAGGATATTAGGAACTTTAACGTAAGTTATCTGAGGGAAATCATTGGTGTGGTGAGTCAGGAGCCGGTGCTATTTTCCACCACAATTGCTGAAAATATTCGTTATGGTCGTGGAAATGTAACCATGGATGAGATAAAGAAAGCTGTCAAAGAAGCCAACGCCTATGAGTTTATCATGAAATTACCACAGGTAAAGGCTCTGATAATGTAGTTGTCCTTGAAATTCTAATTTCACCTTATAGGGCTGAGTTTATTTTTCAAAGGTTTAGCTAATAATGTTTGAGATACAAGATTGTCCAACTTTGGTAGGTAAGTCCCATGAATGACTCAGTTAGGGCTTCAAAAATTATAGCCTGGTACATGAGTAATATACAATTTTATACAGAATATGTTAGTTTTTTTAACAATTCAGAGTTCATTTATCATAATTTATGATGCATTAAAATAGTTAAGACAAAGCTCCATGTTATCTTTATGTAGTTCTATAGACTTCCTAGCCTTTTTAAATTTAAGTTACTTCAAGAACTGATTCATGTTTCCTGTGGTAGAAATTTGACACCCTGGTTGGAGAGAGAGGGGCCCAGCTGAGTGGTGGGCAGAAGCAGAGGATTGCCATTGCACGTGCCCTGGTTCGCAACCCCAAGATCCTCCTGCTGGACGAGGCCACGTCAGCCTTGGACACAGAAAGTGAAGCTGAGGTACAGGCGGCTCTGGATAAGGTCAGTAGACCCTAAACGGCTGAAGGACCAGCCAATTGAAACCTGTTGAAAATTCTTGCCAATGCTTCTGGAATCTGGATTGAGAAATAGAAACATAAGGGCCAATGAAGCTACCTCAGGGAAGTGTATTGATTTCTCCTTTCTGTCAGGTTACATCGTTTTGAGAGAGAGGTGAACCGGACTAGCTTGTTTTGACCATGGTACAGTGAACCCAGATCCAGGTCTGTGCAACAAGCCATTTAGCTTTGTTTATTTCTTGCGCATGGGCTATTGCAAGACTGCTTCTGACCAAAAGTAGTCACATTAAAATATTTCTTTTAATCTGGTTACCTACCCAGACAGTGGTGCAACTGAAAACTAATTCAAAATACCCTGTTTTGCAGGTAGTGACATCATCTTTATTCATGTAGATCACCAGGTGCTTTTCTGGAAACAAAGTTCAGCTCTGTATTTGTTTAAGCATATAAATAAGCAATTCATTTTCAGAGTGCTGAGCTCACCTACCCAGCTCAGATATTTCTAAGTTTCTCATTAGCATCTTTACTAAGCTGAAGTGTCACAGGAAGAACCTTTCCTTGGTATACTTTTGGCAGTAATACTAATGTCATCTGTATTAACAATACAATGTAAATACCAGACTCAGATAGAAATTAGTTTTAAAACACATAACTATCATAAATATATTTGATTTAAGACAGTTTAGTAATAACATGTGCAAGTTCCTTCAGGAATTCTATCTGAACTACCTCTTACACTTTAAGAGACAAGCTATACGAACCTTATTTTCTCAGGAAAATTTATATCTGAATCCTAAGTAAACAGAACTGCTTTGTATGCTGTAAACCGTAGTTAATTAATGCTTCATGGTTTATCAGCTTAATATCTTGACTTTTTTGTGATTTTTTGAGACAGGGTCTTGTTCTGTCACCCAGGCAGGAGTTCAGTAGTACGATCACAGCTCCCTATAGCTCAAGCCATCCTTCCACCTCAGCCTTCTGAGTAGCTGGGACTACAGTTGTGCACCACCACACCTGGCTAATTTTTGTATTTTCGGTAGAGATGGGTTTTTGCCATGTTGCCCAGGCTAGTCTCAAACTCCTCAGCTTAAGTGATTTTCCTGTCTCAGCCTCCCAAAGGGCTGGGATTATAGTTGTGAGCCACTGTGCCCAACCAATACCTTGACTTATTTCATATATTTTAATAATGATTAATAAGATGATAATAATTATTCCTTACAAAGTCTTAGACTGAATTATACTGCTTTTGTGTACATTAAATCATGATATTAAGGAGTCAGAATATAATGTATGTGATACTGGTATATGATTGGTTATTCTGAAGTTAAAGCAGGAAATCATAAAGTAATATACATATAAATTAAACTATTAATTCTAACTTAAAAATATAAATAGACATTCATGTATTGACATAGACTTTTTAGGGTAATGTTGGGTAGAATGAAAGATATATTTACCAAAAACTCAAAAACAAAAAAGAGTCCTATTCAGCCCGGAGTCTAGGTTCCAGTCCTTTCCAGGATACAGATATTCAATATTCAGTATTAGTTCTTGCTGTACTAAAATAATAGAATTAATGGAGATGAAGAGTATGTATTGTTTTTCATAATATGACCTCTGCCAGAAAAACTGTGACCTTGAAAGTCTTAGTATGTATTTGGACAAGTTACTTCATTCTATCTTAGCAGTTTGTGTTTCATAGGATCATGACACACTCCTCTGTTGATAACCTTTTATATATTTGCTTTAAAAATAGCTGATGAACCACTCATAATTTTTTAAGGTATCCAGGAAAAGCCATTAGTAGCTTAGGGTGATGGTTAAGAGCATAGGCTTTGATGCTAAGCTAGGATTGGAGTCCTGGCTCTGTTCCCTTCTAGCTGTGTCCTTGGGCACAGTAACTAACCTCTCTAAGCCTGAGAAATCTCTGAAGTAATGGGGGAAGAGGGGACAGAAACAGTATTATAGGATTATCTAAAGAATAAGCAAGATACTGCATGTAAAGTTATTAGTACATGCCTAGTACATAGGAAACACTTGATATTGTTAGCTGCTGCTATTATTATGGTGATTACCATTACCAGGATTTTTTTTTCAGTTGGTAGATTGGTTACCTATTGCTTCATAACAAACTGTCTTGAACCCAGGCTTAAAACAATTCCATGTATTAGGAAAGTAGATTCTCTGTTCTTTCCATCTGAGCACATGGCTGCATTTACCTGGAGGGCTGGCTTCATTAAAATGGTCCATGGTGGCCTCACTCACACACTGGCTGTTGGCTGGGCATCACAGTTCTCCATGTGACTTCTCACACTTGTATAATAGGCTAACCTGGCTTCCTTATATGAAAGGTTCAGGACAGTGTAGCCAGAGGGCAAAGACCAATGAGTGAAGTGTCCAGAGGATTAGACTCCACGACTCATTTTGTTGGTCACGGCAAGTCACAGGCTAGCCCACATTTGAGGAGAGTTAACAGACTGTGCCTCTTATGGGGTGAGCAGTAAAGAATCTGTGACCATATGCAATCTTCTAATGTATGTCCTTTGTCACAATTATTTACATTTCTCCCACCCACAAAAGAATGTTACTTCTTTCTCAGTTCCTCAAAATTTTCATACATTGGTAGGATCTAGCTCAAAGATCAGTATCTGAAGATCTGCATGTGGTCTAATACAGATGAGAATCTTCATATTCAGCTCATCTTGACCCAGAGACCTATGAAAAAGACAAGTTATCATCAACACATACTTTCAACGTAGAGTGGTGGTGCAGGGACAGGATAATCATAGCAGATACTCATTCAAAAAGGAGAACAAGAAGTTCACAGCAGTCCTTGGCCATAGCTATTCCGATGTAGTCAGGTACATTTTGCTGGTTACCCCACTACTCCAGGGAAATGGGATGTTTCTTGATTAAGGTCCAATTCTGCTCCCCAGGAATGGGTTCCCTAGTCCATCGTTCTCTTTAGTTTTGGGGTCTTTCAGCTTCCCGCTGAGAGGGCTTTCCTTTTTCCTAAGAAATGGTCTATGTCTGCAGCTCAATGGCTTTCTTAGCATGTTTCTGCCCATAGAAATTTGGGGCCTATTTCATTTTGTATTTTTAACAGTGTCTTTTAGACTAAGCTGAAGGTCTCTCTTAAATACTTTGCGAGTTTACTTAAAATCTGGCTGTCATTTATTCATGCCCTAGAAGTTATGCCTGTTATTTATTTTTGAGACAGCCCTCTCTCTTCTTTGGGCTGCAGGTGAACTTGCCATCAGAAAACTCTTAAGAGCCTTAGAAAGCTTTTTTTTTTTTTTTTTTTTTTTTTGGTAGCTGAAAGTGTCTACTAGGCTCTGCCTAAAATCTTTCAGAGACTTTTGCTAAAAATCTTACACCCCCACACTCTGATTTTTGTCCTAATTTCATTGAATAACAACTTCGTTTTCCAACTAAGTACTGGGGTCTTCTATATTGTCTTTAAATTCTCCTTGTGACCAAGTAGCTCATTCTTCAGCTGGTAATCCTCTTCCTAAACCTCATCGTACATAGCTAGGGGAATCCGCTTGTGCCTTCAGCAGTCTGTCTAGAGATGTTGGGAATCTCCTCAGCCAGATGTGCAGGTTCATTAAGTAAAATGTCTTTCTTCGAAGTCACTGTAGGAAACATCTTTGTCAATTTTTCCATGGTTACTTAATGAAGATGCTCCTTTTCTATCCTCTAATAGCAATTTCTTTACTCTTCTTCCAATCTCCACTAACAATATTATCACCTTCCTTTCAACCACTACCTACCACTCAATCCCAAAGCCAATGTCACATGTTTTAGGTTTTTGTTACAGCAGTATCCCAACCTAATTACTAATTTCCATATCAGTTCTTTTAAGCCAAGAATTTAGTGGCTTAAAATATAAATTGTATTGCCCACAAATCTGTGGGTTGGTAGAGCGGTTTTTCTGTTGGTCTTGCCTAGTCTCACTTTGGCTCAGGGTCACCTGGGCTGGAATATTCAAGGTGGCCTGGCTCATATGCCTGGCAGTTGCGGATGTCCCTGCCCTGCCCTCCCCTCTCTCCTCCCCTTTCCTCTCCCTTCCCCTCCCCTCTCCCCTCCCTTCTTTCTCCCCTTCCTTCTCTCTTCCCCTCCCCTCCCCTCCCTCCCCTTTCCTCTCTCCCTCCCCTCCCTCCCCTTTCCTCTCTCCCTCCCCTCCCTTCTCCTCTCCCCTCCCCTCCCCCCTCCCTTCTCCTCCCCCTCCCTTCCCCCTCTCTTTCCTTCCCTTCTCCCCTCTCCCCCCTTCTCTCCCCTCTCTCCTCCCCTCCCCTCTTCCCTCCCCTCCCCTGTCTCCTCCCTTCTCTTTCTCTCTCCTCTCCCCTCCTCTTCCCTCTCTCTTCCCCTCCCCTCTCCCCTCCCCTTTCCTCCCCTATTTCCTTCCCTCCCTTTCTCTCTCCTCTCCCTCTTCCCCTCCCCTCCCCTCCCTCCCCTTCCCTCTCCCCTTCCCTCCTCTTGCCTTTCCTTTCTTTCCCTGAGGCAGCTTGCTTTTCCTCCCTGAAGCCAGTCATCCTCCAGGAGGCTAGCCAAGCTTCCTTTCACTGCAGTTCCAGGGTAACATCTGAAGATGGCAAACAGACAAGCGGTGAGGTCCCTTTAGGCCTTGAGGCCAGGGCTCCAGAAATTGCAGAAATCAATTTCTTTACATTTTCTTTGTCAAAACAAGTTACAGGGCCTGCCCAGATTTAAGGAGGCAGAGAAGTTGGCTCCACCTCTGGTAGGAGAAGCTGCAAAGTGTTTGTGGCCATATTAATCTACCATAGTTGCTATGAAAATTGTGTATAATCTACACTAATTGACTCCACACTGCGAGGTAACACTCTAATATTTTTACAGACAATCAACTATACCTTTGAGGATAAACCCTTTATTACTATATCCTCAAAGATGATACCAGTCAGTTAGTTAATCACTCTAACTTACAAGCCAACCTTACTTTTAATGATGAAAAGTTGAATTTTATAAATTGTAGTCTTGTATTTGAGGACCATAAGGATATATTGCTATTATATCTGCTGTTATTTCTACCCAATTACCCATCCCAGAAGAATGATATTTTTCTTTTGTGGATCCTTTTACATTGATCAATCCTTCCATTGTGTGGCACCAGCTTACTGTCGTTAGCTACTTATTTTTAAGCCTTCTTTCTCCTAGAAAGAATAAACCACCCCAAGGAGGCAGAATGAATAAAAAGATACATATTTGAATCTCTCCAACAGCCCAGTACATTGCACATAGTAGAGGCTAAATAAATATTTACTAAATTGAATATGCTAGTCCAGCTCATGGAGAAAATATATGTTTGCATTAAAATAAATTTTAATAGTAATGACCATATTAGCTTTTGACTCAATAGATAGCAACTGTTTGTCAAAATAACTAAAATGGATATTACGTATAAGATCTTGAAGAAAGATATAACAGCAGATTTGGTATTTTGCCTCTTTTAAAGAAAGCCAACACAGTTTCATACCTACATGCCTACTCCTGGTCGTGGTGTTATCATAGAAGAACAGGAAAATAGCCAAAATGGTAATTTTTATACAAAGATTCCAGAAGGTTTCATTTGACACTTTCACCAAAGTTCCCGAAAGGCTAGTAGATTAATACTCCCTTTCTTTAGGCTTGCCTTTCATCTCTGAACATCCGAAATTAGTCAAAGGTCTAAATTTCACCATTTTGGTGTCCCTGAATCTAGGAGATTTATTTGCCAATGTCCTGTCATCATCGGGGTGTCTGAGAGCTCTGAAAAACAAAACAAATGAAAAAAACCAACTTTTTGTGTCAAAGCTCTACTTCAGTCAACTTCTCTTGTCAAAGGTGACAGTTGCTTACTTTTAAATTCGTGAACACATACTTTATTTCTTTTCCATGTCGATCATTCACTCATATATCTGATTCCAATTCCTTTGTGTTGATATGTTGACATATCATCCACCTATTATCATCATTATGATAACACAGTCATTGTTAACAATTTATTCATCACTATTAGTATAATGAATATAATTACAGTAATAAATTATTTCTTATATGCCTTATTATATATGAACTGAACCCAACTTTCATATGAGTAAATATTCATGAGTGCTTCTTTGGGGCTTATATACTAAAAATCAAAGAATAATCTTAAATGTTATCCAAGAGAGCTGTGTTCTAGCCACTATCTGTTTTCAGTGATTTTTCTCTTTTACATTTATTTAAAAACAATTGATCCATCAGGATTAATTTTAGTATATGGACTAAAGTACAAATACCACATTACTTTTTTGGGTGGCTACACAATTGTCTCAATACCATTTATTGTATAATTTACCTTTTCCCTACTAATAGCACCATATTTATCATAATTAAATTCTTAAAGGGTTTATGTCTATTTCTGGACTCTCCATTTGGTTCTATTTATCAAATTACCCATTCATGTGCTAGCTTCCCCTAGGTTTTACTATTTTAATTGCTGTAGCTTTTAATGTACTAGTATCTGTTAGAGGTATTCCCCTCTCATGACTCCTTTCATTAACTTCTTTTTCAGAATGTTCATGACTCTTTTTTAAAAATTTAGATATAAATTACATTCCATAAAACTCACCCTTTAAAAATATACAATTCCAGGGTTTTTAGTATATTCACAAGGTTGGGCAACTATCACCACTATTGAATTCCAGAACATTTCACCACCTCATAAAGAAACCAGTCACTCTGCATTCCACCCTCACTCTAGCCTTTGGCAGCCATGAATGTACCTTCTGTCTCTATGAATTTGCCTATTCTTAAACATCTCATATAAATGAAATCATTCCATGTGTCATCTCTTGTGACTGGCTTCTTTCACAATGCTTTCAGAGTTCATCTATGTTGTTACGTGAGTCAAAATGCATTCTATTTTATGGCCTAATAATATTCCATTGTAAGGATATACCACAGTTTGTTTATCTGTTTGTCAATTAATGAATATCTGGATTGTTTCCACTTTTTTGCTATTATGGATCTAGCCTCTTATTTTAAATTTATATGTTAACCACCTAGATGGATTAGGCTACTCTTTAATAACCATCCTAATGATGTGGTTTGATTGTTTCAGAGTAGGAGTGATCTTAAGCTATTGTGTAAAAGGGTTAATGAGTGTCAGAAAGAGTAGCCATTATTAATGACATAACACCAATACTTTTATTGACATTATCTAGGGTTTAAATGCCCATTTATAAATCCACCAAGCAAACATATGAGGCCACTAAACTAGATAGGAAGGTGATTTGTAGATTTTAGCATGCATAAAAATCACCTAGGGCACTTGTTAAAGAGCAAAGTTACTTGCCTTACTCTAGAGATTATGCTTCAGATGGTTTTTGAACCATAATTTGAATCCTGATCTCGAGGTACATTTCACCTAACTGCCGGCTTTCAGTTCATCAGAATTAGTTAAAATCAGGCTCTTCAAAAGGGACCCTACAGCAGTGCTCTGGAATAGGTTGTCACTTCGCAACAACTTCCCTAAAAAGTTTCTAGTAATGTCTCTAGTATTCCACTTAACTTAGAGCTAGGCTTCTCAGACAAGTGTGAAAACACTGAAGAAGGATCAAGCCCTTGTTTTTCTTAAGTAAACACTGACACTACCCTAGGTTTCTAGAGAAATCATCGGTCCTCCAATTGAAGGGGTTAGCCACTTGTCTGGTCCCAAATGCGTGCCTCCCTTTTTCATAAAGAGTGATGCTTTTGCCATAATCACACAGAGATCTGGTATAACCTACTCTCTCACCATCTACGAACAGCATTCATCCAAGTGTTAACTGTGGATGTTAATTGACAGTATGCCAATACTGTAACCGTGATGCACCGTATTTTTGTTCTTTTAGGCCAGAGAAGGCCGGACCACCATTGTGATAGCACACCGACTGTCTACGGTCCGAAATGCAGATGTCATTGTTGGGTTTGAGGATGGAGTCATTGTGGAGCAAGGAAGTCACAGCGAACTGATGAAGAAGGAAGGGGTGTATTTCAAACTTGTCAACATGCAGGTACTTGCTTTCCAGGAATTTGCTCCTCAATATAGTATTCTTTAAATTATTAAAATGTGATCCAGTGAATGCTATACTGAGCAATAAGAAACTTCAAGAAGATGCCTAAAAGTCTATATCTGAGACTTTAATTCAGAATCTGTAAAGTGGTGGCAGGTGAGAAAATAGGGGAAAGTGCCCAAAATATCATGGATGTATTCCTTAGGACAGCGATTCCTAATTGCCTGGGGAATATGGTCAAACTTAAAGGTCCTTTCTACCATAAGATTAGGGATGATTAGAGTTTTGGGAGTCAGAGGACAGGAAGTGTTTCACACTTGTCCATGGAGTCCTGGCTCTGAATTATATGGAGTGCTAGAGACTTTACCAGAAACATTTTAGGGAAGTTGTTGACAAGTGGCAGCCATTTCCAGAGCACTGCTGTAGGGTTCCTTTTGATGAGCCAGGATCTCTAGTGGTTGGGGGAGGTCTCATGTGATCTAAAAATGTTTTCCAAATAACCCTAATAAGACCATCATCAAGATTCATGGCTCTAGGAAGTGAATAGTTTGTCTTTTAAAAGAAAAGAGCAGGCTGGGCATGGTGGCTCATGCCTTGTAATCCTAGCACTTTGGGAGGCCAAGGTGGGTAGATCACCTGAGGTCAGGAGTTTGAGACAAGCCTGGCCAACATGGTGAAACCCCATCTCTACTAAAAATACAAAAATTAGCTGGGCGGAGTGGCATGTGCCTGTAGTCCAGCTACCTGAGAGGCTGAGTCAGGAGAATCGCTTGAACTCGAGAGATGGAGGTTGTAGTGAGACCACACCACTGCACTTCAGCCCGGGGGACAGAGCGAGACTCCACCTCAGATTAAAAAAAAGAAAAGACCACTCATTCACTCTGGTTCCTAAAACAGGTTGTATTGATAACTATTGGTTTTTCTTATTATTAAGATATTTTATTATACTCAGTCACTTGAGCAGTATTGCAGATTAAATAACCTAATATTTTATTCTATAAACAGATTCTACTTGTGAAAGTATATCAAACTAAATACAGTTTGATACAACTGTAATTAGTACGTACACACATGTTTTTGTTCTTTTCTCTTAACATTTCAGATATACGTCATCCAGATACCATTATTTTAATGGGTGCTCAGTGGTCCATTTTAGTAATGTGTGAAATTGTCATTTTTCTAAAGTTAGATATTTGGTCTGTTTCCAGTATTTCTCTATTCTAAATATTGCCACTGTGAGCACAAGTAGGTCAAAAAAGATTGTCAAAATTTTGCCATTTTTCTGACAAGTAACCTAACTCTTCTGAGTCTTCATTTCTACATTTAGAATACCAAACCTACCATGAGAGTTTGCTATAAGTTAAAAAAAAATCTGAATATTTGTATGCTAAAAAAATCCAACTGAAATGTTTAAAATGGTGAATGTATGATATGTTAATTATATTTCAAAAATGCTGTTTTTTTTAAAAAAAAAAAAGCCCCAGCACAAATTAGATGATGATAAATGGTAGTTACTAAAATTAGCAAATTCCCCAAAATGAAAATATCAAATGAAATGATGAAAAGTTTTATAACTCAGGCTTGCATTTGCCAGAGAGTGTTCTCTAGCAGGAAGGAATCAATCATAGTGTCTTTGCCAAATGCTACCATATGGCCTAGCCACCATAAAGGGTCTTTATCATTTCACTAGTTAGGAGTACATATAATGTTACTTTAAATCCGTTTAGTTTTAACTTCATGAATGGTTACCAAGACTCTGTGATCTTGCTCATAATGACATGTTGAATCCTCAAATGAGATAATCACTTGGCTGTCCTATTGCCATAACCCTTGTAAGAATGACCTCTGCTTCCATTAGGACTTGGATTAGGAGACTGCCAAAGAGATACAGACAGCTCTGACCTTTCTATATCATTTTCCCAAGTTTATTTTCTTAGGAAAAGTTGTACATTTGAAGACTGAACAGTGAGTGATCTGGTATGACACAAACTTGTCACTAGTTAGGCAATAGCTTTCAGCAAGTCATTTAACCAAACTGGGTTTTTGTATTTTCACTTGCTAAATGAGCAGGGGATGAGGTAAGATGTCCTCTGATGTTTCTACCAGCTCTGGCATTCTGTGTTTCTTAGCCCCTTTGAGTGGCTCCACCTGGGTTCCCCCATATTTCCCACTTCTAATTTGAATTTTGCCCTCCCACTTACTTGGTGAGGTTAGAGAGATGAGGGAAAGGCCCATTGTGAGCCTGAGGGTTCAGTAGATGCTCAAGCTAATGCAGTACTCTTTTTCTCAAGCCTCGAAGACCAACCTGGTTTTCATTCAGCCTTGTTTTGGTTTTGTTTCTAAGAAAAAGTATCACTACTTTTCCGTTAGGTAGACTGTTGGCTCTTAATTGTTTTTTTAAGTGTATCTTAATTTTTTTCTGATTATAAAGGTAATATATTTTTACTTTTAAAAATTCAAGCATTTAAAAAAATCCAAATATGTATATTCTAGAAACTTGAAAGTCATAATAAACCAAATCCCTACAAATAGCCACTGATAACCATTTCATATTTATTTTTCATCTTTGCCAGCCTAAAGAATTAAACAGGATCTCCAAATTTATCTATGAGATTGAGCTTGTTTTCACCTTTTTTTAATTGTCCATTTATATTTTTTTCCCTCTGTGAAAGTATTTGTTTTGTATTGGGACACTTTTCTATTGTGTTATTCATAATACTCTCATTGATTTATAAGAATTCTTTACATGAAAAGGAAATACACTTTTCTCTTGCATGTATTGGAGAGACTTTTTCCCCTGCTTTGTTCCTTTCAAATTCAGTTTGTTGTGTTTGGCTGCCATAAAGAAGCTTTAAAATTGCATGTAATTAGGTTGTCAATTTTTTCTTCCATGTCTTCAGGATTTGAGATTGTTCCTTGAAAGGATATTCACCCCTATTTCCTTTCAGCATTTATTGTTCTATTTCTTACAATTAAGTCTTTGAGACAACTGGGTGGAAGAAGTGAGGGGTATTAGTTTTAAATAGATACTTTTTAAAACCTGGTGGAAAAGTGGCTCTCTTGGCTTGAAGCTCAATGACCCTTCAGCTGAAGCACCCAATATCAACAAACTGAGTGCTCTAGGTGAGGCACAGAAAAAATACTATGAAAGAGACAGGTAATGTTCATTTGGTCATAGAAGGAAGCTAAAATCTGAATGGGCTTATTGGAAGAACTTTCTGTTGAGATGGACCATTTGATAGCATGGATGAGATTACAAAATGAGGAAAAGTTCCAGGGAGGCATTCATGAGAGGTGGTCTGATTTGACTTGCCATGAGTTAGATCTTTGGGGGTCCAGGTTTTGTCAGGTTGTGGGAAGCTGGGGATGATTTTGAGCTGCCCTTTAGGAAAATAAATCTTGTAGCAGTGTGGGAACAAATGGCAGTGAGAATGCAAGGGATCAGTTACAAAGTCTGTAGCCCAGGATGGATTTTGTTGAGATGGTATAAAATTGGTTCAAATAAGGAAGCCCACCGAGCAGAACATATCATTGCAATGTGGTTCAAGGCAATATATGAGCACATGGGCAGTGTTCTGTCAGATGTTGAATGAGCAACTAGAAGACTAAGAGATCATAATTGGCTATCGTAGGTACAATAAGGCATTAGCCCTAGGATTGGGTTCAGGGCAGGACTTGAAGGGAGGAGCAAGAATAAGATATTACTGCAAGGACTAAGACCCTGAACACACCATTAAGATGTGTACTTGGACATGGAGGAAGCAAATAGGGAACCAGACCAAAGTCCAACTCCAGCAAGGCTTGATGTTCCCTCATCCTTACTAGGCAGTGAGCTAGAAGTGCTTAAAACACCTCTCACCATCCCCATTCCCATTATAAAGAGAATGGATCTCAAAGCCAACAATGAGGCTGAACCTGCATGTTGGGTCACGTGGGTCAAGGTGTGCATCAGAGCGGGACTGTGACAAAGAATAATGACCAAACCCAGTCAGTTGAGGAAGACAGTTTTACCTCCCATGGGTAGTGACCAGGACCTTTGATTCTGCTTTCCTTGTTTGTAGCTTTAAAAACAAGCCTTTGGTAGTGTTTTCATGTACTCTTCTTCCCTTTTGTGGTGGCCATGACTTGTTCCCTGGTTTATGGCATATTGAGGAAATTCCTGTAAACTTTGAAATTCCTGTATCCTTTCTGGATTATGAAAAATGTGTCTTTCAGTTTTTAGGAAATATTCTTATACTCCATTTTTCTTACTGTTCAGATTGTATTTAACCTTTCTATGCTTCTTTATAGTTTTCTAGTTATCCTTGATTGAGAAGCAGTTAGGAAACCTAAAAAGCTTGACACATGTAATACTCAAAATTGCTTTATGATTCAAAACTTGGAGGTTACATCCATTTGGACACACACACACACACACACACACACACACACACTTTAATGTCTTCTTATTCTTTCAGACATTAGGAAGCCAGATTCAGTCAGAAGAATTTGAACTAAATGATGAAAAGGCTGCCCCTGGAATGACACCAAATGGCTGGAAATCTCGCCTATTTAGACATTCTACTCAGAAAAACCTTAAAAATTCACGAATATGTCAGAATAGCCTTGATGTGGAAATTGATGGGCTTGTAAGTTGTTTTTCACTTAAATTAACTCTTACTTTGTAATTTTGCTACAATTGTTGAAATTCTTAGCCTTGAAAATATTTTTCAGGCACAGATGACTGCTACTATGAGCGATACTCTTTGTAAAGAAAAAAAATTTCAAATTTTAAATGTATTTGACAATGAATTGAAATCAGTTCCAATTAAAAATGGAGTTTCAAGGGGAAAAAAAGATCCAGAAAAGTAGTCTTTGTGCTAAGATGCTTAATATTAAAATTAAATCTGACATTGATCTTTGAGAACCAGAGGTAATAAGACTAGTCCAAAATGAGAGGCTCTGATATTTGCATACTCTACTAGGTAGGATTACATTTTAATATCTATATTAAGAAACCCAGAATATCATCTGTTTAAGCAGATTAAGACTTTTATTTCTGTTTCACATACAAAAATCTTAGAGGTGAAAAACCCAGGGCTGGAATGGTAGCTCCACAGTCCCCATAGATGCAAGCTCCCTTCATCTTTATCTTCACCACGCTGTCATCAGGTTCCCATCCTCAGGGTCCTTTTATGATCTAAGGTGGCTCCTGAAGCCCTGCCTATCACATCTGTGTCCAAGCAGCAGGAAGAAACAGAGGTTTTCCAGAAGTCCCACACAATACTATTACTTAAAAGGCATTGATCATAATTTAATCACATGGCCATACCTAACTACAAGTGATATGAAAAATTGAATTTTTTTTTTTTTTTTTTGCTGTATGCATCAACACTCTAAATTGGAATTCTCTTACTTAAGAAAAAGAGGAGAATGGTGAGAAATAACAAAATTGGATTTAGGAGATTATTAATTTTAGGTAACAAATAATTTATTAACTTATTTTTAATTTGATTTTTTGAGACAGGGTCTTGCTCTGTTTCCCAGACTGAAGTGCAGTGGTGCAATCTCGACTCACTGTAACTTCCACTTCCTAGGCTCTAGTGATTGCCCCACTTCAGGGACTACAGGTGTATGCCACCACACCGGCTAATTTTTGTGGTTTTTGTAGAGATGAGGTTTCACCTTGTTTCCCAGGCTGGAACAAATAATTTTATTATAGAGAGGGAATCCATGCCAAAAAAAGATTTCCTTATTTCAAGATATGGCTTTGATATACTTTGGTGTTATTTGTTGATGATGGCTGAGTTTATTTTTACTCCTGTGTTGGCTTAAAAAAACCAATCCTACCAAGAATTCATTACATCTGTTTTTATCTGCACATGCTATTACTTACTGCAGAAATTAGAAGGACTCTCTTAGAGGTCTTAATATTGGTATATTTCTAGAAAGGAGAATAACAATTGTACCAATTCGGAGCTTCGTTATTATAAGTAAGATAAGCACTTTGCCCTCTTTTGCCTATGGAAATATCCACCTTTCATTTTCTCATTTGAGAGTTATTTTGCTATCTCTTTAAACTCCAGTATTTTACAGGAGCACATCTCTTGAAGAAACCCAGAGAGAAGTGGGGAGGCAGGAAATGCTGCAATTAACAAGATTGTCTCAAGTACCATCATGGGGAGTAAACAACGTGCCAAAGGAGAGGGAGAAATAAATCTGATTAGAGGGACCTGGGTAGACCTGTTTGCATGTGCTGAAGAGCAGCAACCCAAGAAAAAGATGTGTTGATTATACTGGAGATAGGGAATTAAAGATAATGTTAACTAGGGAGGAAAAAAGAACGTGAAATACAGAAAAAATGGGTAATTTGAAAGAAGAAGGCTAAGTAGAACCTACTTTTACATTCTCTTGTTTTATAGAGATATGAATATAGCCTTTCTCAGCGACCTCAGGCCTTTGGGATTCCTTAGTCACATCTGTCTCAAGTTTAATGTTAAACTGCTTCTACCATCAGAATATTCTTCTTTCTGAGATCTAAATCCTGCAGGCCTGGCCAACATTTAGTTCAACATTTGCCGAGAATCTTGTATGTGCCAGGAATTGGATTAGTTTCTAGGAATATAAAGACATAGTCTTTACCTTAAAAAATAAAACAGATACTAGAAATGGAGATATGTAAACTAAACAAACAAATCACAAAACAAGCCAAGCTATGAAATAAGAGAAGTCTGCTCAGGGAAAAGTGATAAGAGAAAAGCAGTGTTATTAGTTTGGTTTCGTGATTTGGGAATATGGCACAGAAAAGTCAGGATTCTGGGATGAGGAGGCCAAGCCCATGTTCTCTAGTTAATAATGGTTTCCTACATTTGCAAAGATGTTTATCCATCTACTCAGGTGTATTGTCTCATTTGACCCTGACATCATCCCTGTTAGAGAGGCAGGACAGCATCGTAATATGTGAAAAAAACTGCAGCTCAGCTCATGTGACCCAGCCATGACTGTCACACCAACACAGTGTTGTGTAACTCTAGAGCTGGATACCAAGGCATCTGTGCCCAGATCCTGATACCTCACAGTCTGCTGAGGCTAGCATAGGAATGGGCTAAGCACACCATGAAGATCGCTTCTTGGCCGAACAACTCATACTCAGCTTATGATGTGTAATCAGTGAACATTGCTAACATTTTATAACATACTGTCCTGCTCTGTAGTAGTTTGCTGGTCATTCTCTGTACCTAGTTTGCAAGTCGCTTGAGGGCAATGGCCATGCCTTTTCTATGTCTACAGACTCTGGTAACTGTTGTGTCATCACCAGTTTGTCCTGATGTTTATATGTTCTAGGAAGCAAATGTGCCACCAGTGTCTTTTCTGAAGGTCCTGAAACTGAATAAAACAGAATGGCCTTACTTTGTCGTGGGAACAGTATGTGCCATTGCCAATGGAGGACTTCAGCCAGCATTTTCAGTCATATTCTCAGAGATGATAGCGGTAAGTTTGCAAACATCACATAACAGCCTGAATTAAATCAGTTTATCAGCTGCTGCTTCTCCCAACCTCACCGACTGGCTCCATTCTGGAATTAAGCATCCTTAAATTAAACTAAGCCAAAGTCCTTAAATCCCTTTTGAGAAAAGCTGTGAGGGAAAAGATAAGTAGCCTTTGAATCACTCCAAGTTTTGATATTAATGAAATTATAAAACGTAAAATCAATGAAGAAGGCATTCTAATGAGCTCTATTCATTAGGGTAGAACTATTGTCACACATGATCCCCAGTCTGTTTGTGCAGAGAAGCTGGTACACATCGCACAGGGAGATGGAGAGAAAGTGGAGCAGGGAGGGGTTAAAGTCACAGAGTTTAATAAGAGTCCAGGCACTGGGTAGAGATTAGTCTCATCACTCAATAGCTTTCAGTACCTCAGTTTCTTCATCTATACAATAAATCTACCTCATAACATGGCTGAAGATTAAAAGAGATTGTACAGGTCACTATCTGGAAAGAGTATGTGCCTTGTAGTAAGTATTCAAAAAGTGATAGCCACCCCATTTTAGCAAAACTTTCAAGGCTTGGGGAGTCCAAGACTAAGAAAGAAAACTTATACTAGCCAATAATTCAGTTAATTGGGGGATATTTAAAGGAAGTTATCACAAATATAAAGCCTCCATCAAGTCCATGAAATCCGGAATCCATATTGTACAATCCTAGTCAACCTCTAACATTATTGGAGACCTTGTTGAGGATAAATAATTCTCCATCATGTTATGAGTTTATTACTTTTGTGATGTTGGACATTGGTCCACAATTAAGACCAGAGGCCAAAAAATAAATAAATTAGAAAGGATCCTCCAAATCTTTTAAAGTTTCAAAACAAAGCAAGCTCTGGCTCTTTTGCAATTCAAAGCAACATGGACTGTGTATTTTGGGGCATCTCTCTGCCAAGTAATGCTCCAGGCACTGGAGATACAGTGGTACACAAATAAACCAAGTCATTCCCTTAAACAGCATGCTTTCTACCAGGGAAGACATGCAGCAGACAAACAAAAAAATAACCCCGCCGACATATAACGTGTTGAGGGATAACACGTATTTTAAAAGATGGGTAGGGTGATAGAGGGCCATTAGCTGGGGGTGCTGTTTCAGACAGGATGCTCAGGAGAGGCCTCTGTGGGCTGAAGCCTGATGGAATGAGAGGTGGAGGGCTGGGACAGGGAGGAATCAGAGGGAGCAAGAAATAGATAGGAAGAAGAACAAACGCTAAAATATGCAGCCACTCACAGTCCTTATGCAGAATTTCAGCCTATGTTAATAACCATGCAGCCCTAGAATTCATAAAGTCAGAAAGTAGAATAGAGATTACCAGGAGCTGGGAGGAGGGAGGGAATGGGGAGTCATAATGATACCAAGTTTGGGAAGTGTGGGAAGATGAAAAGTTCTGTAGATGGAGAGTGCTGAGGGTTTCACAGCAATGTGACTGTATTAATGCCACTGAATTATGCACTTAAAAATGGTTAAAATGGCAAATTTTGTGTTAGGTATATTTTACCACAATTACCCACACCCCACATGTTTGAAGCCTAGTTTTAAACTCGTGACACTCAAGACACTCTTTATGGGGGGAATGAACAAGGATCAATCATGTAGTCTAAGTGGGCATTTTAAATATTCTTTTGTAGATTTTTGGACCAGGGGACGATGCGGTGAAGCAGCAGAAGTGCAACATGATCTCATTGCTTTTCTTATGTCTGGGAATTATTTCTTTTTTTACTTTCTTCCTTCAGGTAGGTACTCACGATTTGCCTTTCTCATCAGGCTTATAATTTAATTAGAGAAATTAGTTTAAACCTAATGGAGCTTCCAAATTCTTGCACTGAAATGAATTCCAAACACGACTGGCATAAAGCTCTGCTGGAGGATAGACTCCTTATCAGGGGGAACTGTGACTTCCCTGCGTCCATAATTATATTATGTTACAATTTTGCCCTCAACAAACATTCATTACCGAGGAACAGGAGACCTCAGTTTACAGCAGAACAAAGGAGTAACTTAAATTCAGCAGGTTACAAACTGGGAAAATACAGTCCAATAGCATTCTCTTTCCTGTTGTTACTCTTTATAGAATATCAAGTAACTTCTCTGATCTTTTCCTACTTATTGATGAACTATTTGAAAGAACATAATGTTTTGCATTCTAATATTGTAGACCTGCCCAAAATGAACTAGTCAAAATCTCTAATTGTACTTTTCTACCTAGACTTCTCTTGAATTTCTTTTGTCTCTTTAACCCAGTGGGCATCACATAGGCCTTTCAAATGTAATTCAATCCATTAAGTCAGCAAAATAGTGTTTCCTGGTCTTGCCAGCATGTTTCTCTTTTATTGTTGTTGAACCATGGCAAAAATAAAGCAAGCTTTTAATTTAGAAATCATTGCCCTGCTAGTAGCAACCCAAAGATCTGATCCAGCCCCAATCCCTGGCATGAGGGAGTGCAGCTAGGAAAAATGTGTTTCAGGGGCTGCAGCAACAGTGGGCTAACTTATAGAACTATAGTGCCTGTAGCAATCTCCCAGCAAACGGAGCGGGAGGGCAGTCTGGTGCTGTACAAGGAACACCTGGGGCCCATTCACCCCGTGCACTGATCACCCATCCCTCTGACTTCGTAAAGAGTTCTGATGTGCACTCCCCCAAGTGCCCTTGGCATGGCTACCCCAACACTCACCCTGTGGCTGGAGACTCAGACATCCCAGGTGTCCTTGAAGGAAACCCAGCTCTGGGCATCTGGGCTCCTCTCCAGTTTGGATGTGGATTAGAAATAAGGAAATTGTTCCAAAGAGGCAGAGGAAGGAAGAGTACCCTGTTCCTGAATCTGAGTGCAGGTGGAGCTGTGACCAGGAACCAGCATACTCATTTGGATCTTGCTTCTAAGGACATTCTTTCTCTACACTGCATGAGCCAAAATGAATTCCTGTGTAGGACTTTGTTACTTCTGTTTGCAACTGCTTTATTGGAAGGAGTAGGAGCACACTGAAAACTGTAGTTAAACACAGTATCTTTGTCACTGAGATGTTGTCCTTCAAAGTTTTGAAAAATAAACCTGTTTAGAATGATTTAGAAGCCAGAACTGGACACATTTAAGATTTTTGACCTTTGATTCTAATGCATACTGATGATTTTGCAGCACATGAATTTGATATTGGGGCTTTGAATTCCTATTTGGTCCTGGACTTTTGTTATTTGAATAGTTGATTAACATACAAATAATGTAAAATCAATGTGAATATATGCACCTGTCTCAGAATACTAGCAGCTGTTACCCACACAGCAGGTAGGTTTGGTTGCTTGCTGGGTTTCAAACCAATGACCGTCCTTGATCAGGATGATTTAGCGAGAGAATTTTGTAACTTGTCACAAGTAAGGAGCTCACAGGGCATGGTTCTCAAAGCAGTATCTCCCCAAGCTGGAGGCTGCATCAGATTTTCTAAGGATATGGTAATAAAGTGTAATCAAATTGGATCTTGCAATGAGCTGATGCCGGGAAGCACCATCTGACTGCATCCTGCCATGGGGTGATGTCAGAGGTTGATCTGATTGAATCCTGCCTCCTGCCATGTGATGTCCGCTTCTGAATTCAGTCCCTGATACTTGGTTCAGAGCACTTAGGTTCCCACTGTGGTTGCATGCGTGATTCACCTGGGGCTGCTCAGATTATTAACATGACTTGAGAGTCCATGGCAACTGCAGAACAACTCATAACTTTGGTGCATAAAAGTTGAACAAGATTGGTTGGGTGCAATTACATACATGAAGATGAAAAGAGGTAATAGCCTTTTTTCTCAACCAGGGCTTCACATTTGGGAAAGCTGGCGAGATCCTCACCACGAGACTGCGGTCAATGGCTTTTAAAGCAATGCTAAGGCAGGTAGGTGTGTGCACTGGAAAATGCCTTCTGGTTTTTCACATTTCTTCCACGTTAAGCTTCTCACAGTCCTTATTGGTATGTTGAGGTGCATATTTTCCCTCCAGGGTATTCATGTAAGGATGGAGCAGAGCCCTGCAAACTGTCCTGGTCCTTCAAGATCTAAAGACCTCTCATGGTTTTTTTCATAGAAATAGGCTTCATTTGGTAGCTTTGGCCTGTTCTGCAGATATCTTTCTCCATGTTGACACTATCACTTCAAAGACCTGTATCTCCTTTCTGGATCCTGTGCAGGCCCTGGTGAGTCCATTGAGACTCCAGGATGCCTTTAATCCAAGAAAAAGCTAGTTGGTAGCATTTAAGCTCATGTACCACAATCTACCATACTAACTATAGGTATTCTCAAATGTTAATCATTGAGTTTTGTTTATTTTTCATTTGACGTCTATTTTCACATTAATTCACCTGTTTGTTTATTCAAACATTACTTATCATGTACCAGACAGTGGGCCAGTTAACAATGCATTAACTGCTCTCCTGTTAGGTTCACGTTCTGGTGCATGACATGCAAAAATGTGCAAACACGAATTATCTGTTCTTATAGAGAATGCCTAAGAGAGGGCCAGACTATTATCCATTCAATTGACAGGAACTGATTCTATTTCTGTTCACAAAAGGGCATATAGCAGATAGTATATTTTCATTAAATCTGTTTACAAATCTTATTTCAGTATCTTTAAAACTCTATGCAGGAAAAAAATTATTTTATATGAAAGTAAAAGATGCCATGGATGAGTAGCTTACAATTAAAATCAAATCTCAGACATGCTTCTTTTTTCATCCCTGTGACTAACTGGAGATCAGACACACTTTTAATCAGCGTTTAAAAAAAAAAAAGGCTTGGTGAGAAACCAGAATTTATTTTCTCCTGCCTGGAATATATCAGAACATGTCCAAGACAGTCTCACCACCCTTTATGTGAGACAACATCATATCAGGGCAGAAGTGTCTGTAGTGAAAGACGTGATGATTGGGTGAATGGAATGCCCACCAGCCTCCCAGCGTGGCTGCCATCTGGGTCAGCCCTGACCCCTCAACCAGAGATGCTCTCCCTGCTATCAGAGAGCAGCCAGGAAGCGGGTTCTGCCAGATTCTAGGGGTGTGTGCTCGGAGCAAGGCCAAGGACTCTACACTGCATATGAGGTCTCCCCTAAGTCTCCTCAGCATTGGAGCTTTGGGAGGCTTTGTTTGGTTTTCTTTGCCTGTTTTAATTTTGGACTAATATAAAGGTGTATTTTATGCCATAGGACATGAGCTGGTTTGATGACCATAAAAACAGTACTGGTGCACTTTCCACAAGACTGGCCACGGATGCTGCCCAAGTCCACGGAGTATGTAGACTGCACTCTACTAGGGTTTTTTACATAACATGGTTTAAAATAAGCATATGGCATAGCTACACTCGTTATGAGGCTTCCTGCTAGAAACAGCAGAAAGCTCAAATGAAAACTGGCATAAACAATAAGCAGAAGATTAAACTTCAAGGTTGATTGACCCACTGGTCCCCCAGCTTTAATCCAGAATCCAGGTTCCCATCATCGGCTTTGGCTTTATCCCAAGCCTGATTCCCTGTAGTCACAGGATGACCACAGATAGCAATTAGAACTACAGGCTTCCTATGTACCATCCAGTGAAAGACAACACACACCTCTACCTCAGCCACCAAACCCTTTGCTGAAATCTAATTTGGGCTAATTTGGGCTAACACGCCCCGCCCTGAACCACTAACTGCCTCCAGGGGGAGAGGGTGTTCTGAGCGGCCTCCATCCACACCCGTGAAGCTCAGGTGGGTTACTTTGCAGCTCACTGCTTCCACACAACAGGAGAAAGAGGAATGGATGCAAAGAGCTGACTACAATGTCGCTACAGCCACTTTTATTTTCTGAGCGGTACAAACATTAATTCATCCTTACATGTGCTTTGCGGTGGATTGTCTCTTAGTAACAGATGGTCTCTGGGAGTGTGTAAATTTCCCTTTTACACTTTTGAAGCAAATGGTCTTTAAAATTACCCAGGTACATTGGAATTAGTTTTCTCTTTGAACATTGCATCTGTGAAAACATACCTGCATCCCCAGTGCCCATCCACAAAGCAGATAAGTTGATTACTTGTTTCTGGAATGTTGGTTCAGGTGAGCAGCAGAAGCATGAGAGTCTAAAGGCACAATGAAGAAAAGTCTGCAGAGCCTCATGAGTGAAGCTCAGGTGTCATGGGTTTACCGTAATGAAAGTGAGCCAGTGCCAGCTCAGGCACAGAACCCACTCATCATTCTGACCAAGAGCTCATGGATTTGGAGCTGAAAACTACAGTTGCCCTGTTCTTTTTCTTTCCCAGGCCACAGGAACCAGGTTGGCTTTAATTGCACAGAATGTAGCTAACCTTGGAACTGGTATTATCATATCATTTATCTACGGTTGGCAGTTAACCCTACTGCTATTATCAGTTGTTCCAATTATTGCTGTATCAGGAATTGTTGAAATGAAATTGTTGGCTGGAAATGCCAAAAGAGATAAAAAAGAACTGGAAGCTGCTGGAAAGGTAGGTCAAATAAGGTTTCGGTTTTTGTAAGTGTTGTTTTTAGATATGAGTTTTATTTGATTTATTTTTGATATGCAGGCTTTAATAATTAAATGTTTGTGCTTACTACAACTAATAATTATAAATGGTGTATGAAATATTTTGCTGTATTATGTCTAGAACTTAAATAGGAGGTGATTAACATAAAGCTTTTAGCCTATAGAAAGCATTTAACATAATTATGATAAAGAACTTCCGAATATTCAAAGTGAATCTCATTTTACTTCATATCCCAATGCTACTGTTTGAACAAATGTCATCCATGTTTCACAAACCTTCATGCCAAAGACTGTAAGTGAATTGTTCAAGGTCAGACATTTGCTGGTATTTTTAAGAGACCCTTTTCTTCTTGGCTGTGATTTCTATAATTAAGGTGAGTGGCCACCAGATGGCAGTAGTGCCTCGATTTTTGCGGTTCTCACTATAATGCAATTGGGCTTAACATTTACTTGAGCCTTACAAATGTGCCAGTTGTTGTGCTGCATATTTACATGCACCAATTTATTACATCTTCACAATAATCCTATAAGAAGGGAAGGAATGTTACCCCCATTTCAGAAATGCTGAACCTGAGGTCGAATCAGAAATTAGAGATTTGGCTGGGATTCAAGTTCAGGTCTAGTTTCAAAGCTCTTATCTCTACTATATGGTTTCTTTATATGTGTTTAAGTATGTCTAAATCTACACATAAACACATTATTCAAACATACTTGTACTTAAATGCTTAAATGTAGATTAAGCCCATGAACATTTTGAGTCTTATTTATGTAATTATTATCCTTTATTGAAACATGAGGAAGTGAAGCAGATAATACATATGAATTGTGATATAGTTTCTATAGCATTGCACTTTACAAAGCCCTGTTACACACATTACTGCAACTGACTTTCCCTAGTTATGAGAAGCGGAACAGACAGTATCTCTTTAGGGAAGAAGGCATCAGAGACTGGGTGAGTGACTTGCTCCAGAGGTGCGTTATTAAAGAGGAAGATGAACATTTGGACCAACGGTGTTTCCACTAAACCAATTATGTCCAGTGAAATCCTTTTCTGTTTTCTTGTAACTGGCATCAGCTTCCGCTGTGTGCAACATTAGGTCTAACGGTATCATCTCCAGGTTTCCATCAGAATGCACTCTACTCATTTTCACCCTGCATTGTCTCCAGGATTTGGAGCTCACTAGGACAATATATGGTTCCCAGGACTTGGGAACCTCTGGGTGTCCAGAGTTCTTGAAGATCCTCTTGGCTGCTGGCTGTGGGTACTTTAGGACATCATTTCCTTGACTTCTGAGCGACTCAACTAACTGCCTAACTAACCCTGACCCTCAATCCCGCTTCTTTCCACATTTCAGATAAGAGAATGGTCAGTTAGATGGAATGAAAATAAACTTTTCTTAGACAAGTTACCTGATAGAAAACATCTTGAATCTAGTTAAGATAATAGTCTTAACCCCATTAAAAATGACTAACAACATTGAAATTTGTCAGAATTTTGTCAGAGTAAAGCAGTTAGAATTGAGCAGTATTGAAACAAAACAAAATCTTGGGTTATTAGTCTTGGCCTTGCTACTCACAATGTGTGAGGATGGAGAAGATCCCAACTTATGTGGTCCTCACATTCCACCTTAGTAAAATGAGAAATTATACCAGATACTGTCCCGAGTTCCTTCCAGCTAAAGCCCTGTTATTCTTAGGATCAGAGATTAAATAACTCAGACTGGCCAGTTTAATTTTTTTAGTAGCCACTTTAACCTAATAGGGCTTTTAAAAACATGAAAGATTAAACAGTTTTTTAAATGTTAATATCAGCAGTTCAGTTTTAGTTCGGTGTTGTTTACTCAGTCAGCACTTGATTAACTGAGAATGAGGGTTGGAAAGAAGGTCCTGAGAAAATCCCAAATCACTGTTTATGTAAAAAGAAATGCTCTCATTTACCTGGGTACAGTTTCATCATCGTTAAAGTACATCAGGGTTTGAGGTATTCCCATCCCAATTTTCCAAAAAGGGCTTGGAAATGAGGGTGTTGGTTGCTGGACAGGGAGTGGGGAGGGAAGGCTGCCTCATAACCATCTTGACCCAGGCCCTATCTGGTCACTGAGATTAGAGGCCCTCTGTGCCAGAGCTAACCCACAAAGCAATTGACCAATGACCAGAACGGCAAGAGGAGTGCCAAGTCATTAAAAACTAGTTTCTCCTTGTGTAAATTACACAGAAGGGGTAGCAAAATAGCATAATGGCTTAGGAACATGGACTTGGCATCAGATAGCCTGGCTTGGAATTCTATCTCTGCCATTTATTAACTTTAGAACTTAAGGCAATTCAGTTAACTTCTATGTGCCTCTGTTTTCTCATCTGTGTGAATAGAAATAATATTTACTTTTCAGGGTTGTGAGGCTAAATGATATCATATCGGTGAATGAGGTAACACTTGGACATAGTAAAAGCTCAGTAATTTTTCTCTATTCCTGTAATTATTGCTGTCTGTTTTATCTTTATTACAAATGAAACATCTATGGTTATTCAGTCTCAAGCATCAAATATCTTCCTTTTACCTCATTACAGAAGCTGAGAACTGAGGTAAAAAAAGTTTTAAAGCTGTTAAAGCCTAAAATTCAGATTTTATTCTCCCTTGCTGATGGTTTAGATGACTCAGCTACAGAACTATGATTTAGACTAAATAGCCAAGTCACAATGAACAGTTTTCAAGGATGATTTAGCTGTAAGAATGAGAAAACTGCTCTGGCTGGTTTGGGTAAAAGCAATTTGATATAAGAACACTCCTCCGAAGTGCAAGAAGTGCAGGCTGTTTGTGTTTAACCAGCCCTTTCAGCCACAGGCTCTAATATCTGAGTCTATATGTGCCTATTCAGTTTTTCAACTGCTGTATATTCAGGCCAGCTTCTTACACATATGCAATGTGACATTAGCCTCTGGAGCCACAGAGCCTCACAGTTCAAACTTGTGTCCAGGGCCAGGAAACCAAATCTGATTGACCCAGATTAGTCAAGTGTCTGCCTCTGATTTAATCATGGATTTAAAGTAGGCACATGTTGTTTACAATTGGGATCTCCTTCCCATTGTGGCTGGACAGCTTTTCTAAGAAGTTATACCCAGGGAGGAAATAATTGGCAGCTCCAACAGGCCCTTACAAATCACAGCCTAATCCTTTCTTCTAGGACTCTGCCTTGTGAAGAAAGCCAGGCCACAAAGGGGTTGTGACTAAGGCCAGTCATCTAACTGCCTGGTGGCAGGCTGGGAATAGAACCAGGCCCTTGGTTCCCAGGCCATGTTCTTGCCCTAAGCTGATCGGCCTTCCTGGGCATACAAAGACTTGCCTACCATACTTAGCACAGCCAGAAGTACCAATTTTGTCATTAAGCTAGTCTTGAACATATTATGCCTTTTGTAAAGGAAATTAAAGCCTATCGATCGACATAACCTTCAGGATACTTTTGACAGAGCCCTAGGGCTTATTTTTCATTATTTTGGAAGTAAAAGCACCACTTCTAATGGAGGTCTATTCTGTGTTACAGATTGCAACAGAGGCAATAGAAAATATTAGGACAGTTGTGTCTTTGACCCAGGAGAGAAAATTTGAATCAATGTATGTTGAAAAACTGTATGGACCTTACAGGTAATGAACCATATAATTCCTGCTAAGAACATACTGCTTTCCTAAGTTTGAGTAATTGTCCCCAAAAGATAATAAAAGTTCTGCTGCTCCAAACAATGATATGACTATAAGGCTGACCTTTTTCAGTAATTCTGCCACTGAAAATAAGTAGCTTTTTGATGTGACTACAACACAGGATTATATTTTTTACATCTTATGAAAACAGTAATAACAGGTCTCCAAGAGGTAAAAGATACAGAGAATTGCACAGTCTTTGGTCATCAGAGCAGGCAACATGAAGACCCATCTGGGTGACTTAGGACAAACAGTTCTTTAAGGAATTGCTCAAGCCCTTATTTTCTTTGCATTGTGTAGACTGAACCAAAAGTGAGACTTGCTATTGGGTATGTTCCAGAGGAAAATGTTTCATTTGTTCTCTGAATGAGGACCAGGTCCAACCTACTCTGAAGATAAAGAACAGCCTATTTCAGTGGTTCATAGTTGAGCAATTCAAGAATCTCCTAATGGTACCGTTTGCCAGTCATTTTCACAGCAGCCCAATTTTATAAATGATTATGTTTTAACACAAACAAAATTGAGCACAACTTAGATTACAGCATTGCAGACTGGAACGGTAGTTTTGAACACTTGCAAATTTGAAAAGATAACTTCGGAAGTCTCAATTTATGCCATGTCCTCAGTTATGCATACTTAATATGTTACTAAAGAGCATGCAGCTACATCTTTGTGTCCATTTGATGTTTGACATATAAATATGTATGTACCATTAATGATGACCTATTTTTAACTTCAAGGAGGGTTAAGGAAAAATAGAAAGCTGAAGCTAATTATTAATTTGGTTATAATGTAAAGATTCAGTAGCATCACAAATTGTTCAGTTATGTTAAGCTTTGTAACACCATGTTGACAGCCCATAAGTTAAATCATCCAAATCAGTAGTACTTTGAATTTTTCCTTTTGCCAAAAATGGCTTCATATTTGAGAGTAATTAAATTATAGTTCTTTTGGAGGATTCAGAAGCCTAATAAAGTATAGCATGAGGTTTAATTAGAAATGGTGCAAATAAATTATATATGAGGGTGGACAGGATCTAGCTTGGGGAAGGACTTCTGGTGTAAACTTCAGGGACTCAACTTTTATGAATCTGAAACATGAATTTTAACAGAGTACAACTAGTTATAGGAGACAACATAACAGTAGTAAACCACATTCAGATACTTCAAACTTAAATTCAAATTCTGACATTTTAGTTACTTTTGAAACAACAACTATGCTTACATAACAGGAATTAAACATTGGAGTCATCAGATATTAACATGTAATAATATCAGTTATTTAAGGAACCACTGTAAACTAGGCACTGTGCTAGACATTTATATGGTTGTTTTTAATTGTCGAAACAATCCTGCATTACAGTGATTATTTCCATTGTACAAATCAGAAAACAATGTTTAGAGAAGTTATCATTTACCCAAACTAATATAACTGGAGGTGGAACTTAAGCCCAGTCAGCCAGACCTAGAAGCCGTGCTCTTTCCACTATGCAGCGCTAAGGGAGGCTGAAGAGGTGGTTACAAGTATACTGATTTGCTTTTCAGGAATTCCGTGCGGAAGGCACACATCTATGGAATCACTTTTAGTATCTCACAAGCATTTATGTATTTTTCCTATGCCGGTTGTTTTCGATTTGGTGCGTATCTCATTGTGAATGGACATATGCGCTTCAGAGATGTTATTCTGTAAGTAGCTTTAGAAATATTAAGATTATTCTATAATAAGGTTTTAGTAGGTTTATGCAAAAGTTTAGAGTAGAAAAAAAATGCCTCCTGTGCCAAAGATGAGGTCAGGGATTTAACTTTACCACAGTGTTGATCCTGGCAGGCACGGAGATCTGATCTTGTTAATACTCCAAGTGCAGTTTAATTTTGTAAGTGGGCTACAATTACTCAAGCTTATGAAAATGAGCATAAAGCACAGATTTAGTTGCACATATAACCCTGGTCAGGCTGATGCAGATTTTCTCATTATGGAATATAGGCAGAAAAAAATCATAATTAGAAAGTTGCTGGTGACCATGGACTCAAAACAGGGTTAAATAGTTTACTGTTACCTACAACCAGAACATGACCTTGACAGTGGGCTGGGAACACTTGATGGAAGTCTGGCAAAGGCCCTCTCTCCCTAACCAGGCCTGAGACGGCCCTGCCAACATTTGCCTCTCAGCCTCTCCTTTTTCCTTGGTTTCCAAAGCTGACTACTGATCTTTCTGTTTGATGCCTTCTTTTCGTGATGTGCCCAGCACATTCCATTGGGTTGCAATCTAGGCTTGAAAGAGGGAAGCCGCTCTTTTTAAGATCATTGGGTATATTTCTGCTCTGGTGGGATGATTTTAAAGCAATGGTGAACAACGTTTTTGGAAACAGGGTCAAGATAAAAAAGTGAAAGTGTTTAAGAGCTATTCTTTTTCATCCAAAATTAAAATTACCATGAAAAAATATATCTATATAATCTTTGTATCAGGACCCCCAGCAGGAAAGAAATGGCACAGCAAATGGGTTAATTGGCGAGTTTGCTAAAGGGTGTGTTTACAAAGACCTGGGAAGCATTAAGATAAGCAGTACAGAAGAAGGAAGGTAACAGCCCAGCAGTACCCAGCTGGAAATAGCTACCACCCTAAGCCTAAAGGTCAGAGGAGGGAAAGCCTGCCTGAACTCAGCACAGGTGCTTTCTGTGGTCTTTGGTGGAGGGACAGCAACTGCACAAGCCATCTGATAAGAAAGAAGCCAAAGAAACAAATACCCTGGCCACACTCTCCTCCAGCCTCCCGGGCCTCTGCTGTGCCTTCCATTGGCCAAACCCTGTGAAACCAGAGGACAAGAAAACCTTTTGACTTAGTTCATGATAGTTGGCATCCCCAGCCATGGAGTAGGGGTAGAAGGTAGAGATGGGTAGAAAGTGGGGAGTGATTTTGGTGGACAAATGGAACGAGCAGCTAGGGATTACAACTTAGAGTACAACTATTTATTGCATAGAAAAATAGTGAGAACATTTCTGAAAGTGAAACCATTGGAACGTTACATTAATCCTGCTTTTCTTCTTTTTTTCTTTAGTAATTGAAATGTTAAATTATGGACATCTAGAAGACAGCTTTTTACTCTTTCCTCTAAAACTAAATAGCAGGCAGTCCAGGGAAGCCACACAGCCACATGTGGGTTGTTCATCACTATTTTAAAACTTAGTTTTTGACAGCCAACATTTTCAGCAAGATTTAAAGAAAAGCCTTACTATACCTCTCATCTCAGACCCTAGGTACTAAAAACCCATTTTAAATATCTTAGATTTAGAAGTTTTGGAGATGGAAACTCTTCCTTATTACTAGAGAACTCCTGCCTCTTTCTCTGGGGTAGTGTTGGTATCAGAAGTAAATTGCTTTCTGGAGATGCAGATCTCAGGATCTTTACCCTTTCCTCAAAGTTGTCATAATCAGTATCTATCCATCCTTTAAAGAGCATATAATTAGAAATAGAACTTTAGTTTAAGGTAATTTTTTTCCCAGAGTGTTGTCTATAGTTATTTTACTTTTAACTCTTAGTTTAGATTCAGGGGTACATATGCAGGTTTGTTAATAACAGGAAAATTCATGTCACCTCATGTCATGGTTTGGTGTACAGGCCATGTTGTCACCCAGGTACTAAGCATAATAACTGATACCATTGTTAGTTTAATTGTAAACAACAAGCTATTTCTGTAAAGGCTTATTGTCCCTAACAGAAATTCTTTACAGTGATGATGGTTATCATTTGTGTGATGGTATAGAAGAAACTACAAACTGGAAGTCAGGGCTGCAGCTTTATTAGAGGAAGCTTACTTGGAACTGATTAAGCCCCTTGCACACTTTGTGCTTTAATTCTCTCAACTCTAAAAAGAGTATAACCAACAAATAAAATTAGCTGAGCTCGCAAATCAGATTCAGTCATAAGCCTTTTCCTGCAAGTAAAAACCTCTGGGAAGTCACAGTAGTCCTGGGAAATTAGGGGCTTCTATGCAAAGCGAAGTCAGAAAGCAAGTCAAGAAAAAGCAAACCCTCAGGAAATGGATCTTGCCCCTCTCCTAAATTTCTCTTGTTACTAGAGTTTTATGAAAATGTATATGAGGGGAGAAAGGGGCTGACTAAGGAGTAAAGAGAAAACATACTGGTAAGCACTACGCCTTTAGACTTTCAAACATCATGGACCTTATTAAATAAGCTAATTTTTGAATTCCTCTACTTCTGTCTAGGGTGTTTTCTGCAATTGTGTTTGGTGCAGTGGCTCTAGGACATGCCAGTTCATTTGCTCCAGACTATGCTAAAGCTAAGCTGTCTGCGGCCCATTTATTCATGCTGTTTGAAAGACAACCTTTGATTGACAGCTACAGTGAGGAGGGCCTGAAGCCTGTAAGTTCTCTGATGCCTGATGATGCTTGATCACTTCTTCCCTAAAGGTTTGCTGTCTGCTGGATTATAGCTACAGGATAAGTTTGTGGTGATTATACCAACATGCATTTCATTTAATTTGTAAGATTTATATAGCTAATATTTGGCCAACTTGACTGGCATTTAAAAATTTTATAGGCAGTTTCAAGGATCGTGAAGTTTAGCACATCAAAATTATTAAAAAAGGAAAACCAAACATATTGGAACTGAACAGTTTCCACAAAAATTTAGTCACTTCTACAAAAAGGTGTAATTCTGCCCTGATAACGCAATTCATCATTTGACTCTAATCACTTTTTACAATAGTTAAGGTACAATTGGTAAGAAGGGCAGGTTATTCACAACAAGAGTAATAATCGTATGCTTTATTATCTATAAAGGTAACTTAAACTCACATCTGAGTGTTCTTTGTATGATACAAGATACTATACATTGCAATATACAAGAAGCTGTGTGGGTAAAGAGACTGGGACTTATATAATCTTTTCAGGACTTTCCAAGGTATTTCATGTTCTGAGAAAATTGCTGTGCCCAGGGAGTGAGATAAAGAAAGTGAACTTAAGAAACTGCCAGGATTTGCCATCAAGGGCTGTCCACTGAAAATTTAGGCAGAAAATGTTGCTAAATTTCCAAGCCTTTAGAGCCTTTGGACACTGGCTTGATTTCAGCTTCAGAATCAGCAGTTGGGAAAGCTAAATGATATCTTAAGGAAATCAGAAACTGAGTTAGGTAACAACTCATGGTAATGACTTTTTTGTCTAATCTCACCTATACCCCTATCTCTCACCTTCATTTCACATCATAATAACTTGCTATCAATATTAACTGGCACTAGAACTATACCAAATATGAATTTTATGTTTATCTACTACAGTCTTTGGTAAAGGTTCCTAATATTTCTTATTCCAATAATTATCAGGCCAATTATAATGGCAACATTTAAACATTGTTTCAGGATAAGTTTGAAGGAAATGTAACATTTAGTGAAGTCATGTTCAACTATCCCACCCGACAAAACGTGCCAGTGCTTCAGGGCCTGAGCCTGGAGGTGAAGAAGGGCCAGACGCTGGCCCTGGTGGGCAGCAGTGGCTGTGGGAAGAGCACGGTGGTCCAGCTCCTGGAGCGGTTCTATGACCCCTCGGCGGGGACAGTGGTGAGCACATTTCCTTAGTGACCTGATTGAAGGCTGTATCTTAAGTGACCCAACCAATATTGTCATAATGGGAAACACGGGACGAACACAGACCCAGAATCCCATGTGATACAATGACCATTCTATAAACCCCAAACTGGCACCGTATCTGAGAAATATATGGGGACCATAGGACAGAACATCTGGAATTCAGTCTAGCTCAGAAAATACTGAATATAAAGTTAACTTTTACCCTGTCATGGGCCTTTTCAGCCAGCCTGATTTTCCTAAGCAAATACTGACTTACTGGCTTATCAAGGTGAACCACAAACTCCTGTCCAAATTCGAAGTCGACTTCCTAAACAGGCTGCTGCCTGCCTGTTGCCTCCCTACTGCCTTCAGTTTTGCCGCCTTCTCTTACCTTGGATTCTAGGCTCTCCAACTTTGACTTTGATCCTCAACCTCCAGCCCTTTCATATTTGGCTTTTGTTATTGATTTTCTGGCATGTAGTTTCCTGGCTGTCTTCCTTGAGTGAAGACCAACTCTTACCAATAATGCTTGTATCTGCCATCACCTTGGAATGGGACCCATGACCAAGCCCTGGGAGCCTGTTCCCATTAGACAGTCACCAAAGTGTTAAGTTTTGCTTAAGTTGTTTTATTAATAGTTGTTAAGCCTAAATCAGCCTTGTTAAGCCTGATTTAGTTGTTGTTTTTTTTTTTTCTGGAAATCTTATGCTTTTCTATTTATAACTATTCTACAGGTAACATAGGCAAACCAGGCCAAAACTCTGTAAATATGATGTGCTGATACTATGGTGGGAATTTTATTCTTTATTGAGGTCAAGACTAGCTGGGCTTGTGTCTATTCCTTTGCCTGTAACCTTTACCTTACAGAAGGCTGTACTTTCACCTACAGCACTCCCATGGGAGCACCATACCTCCTGCCTGTAGCAAGTAAAACAAAAACAAAACCATCACTTCCAGCAAAAATAATTCTCCCAAAGACACTGCCCTTTGTAACTTGTTTGTTGTCCATTGGATTCTTGTCCTTAGTGCTGTCAGAAAAAGAGAAGTGGGGGAAAGTAAGGCTAGTTGTTTTCAGGGAAAAAAGGTAGAGGTAGGACCAGAATCAACCAACTTTTCGAATCTGGAGGCCATGCTTCTGATCAGCTTTTTCACTGGTGTGCATGGGGAATCAGGTTGAAGGGTTGGGATTATTTTGGAGACAGCAGACCTCAGTGGGACACCTTGATGCAGACTTCTTTAAGGCAGAGTAGACACAGGTGGCTGGAATAGGGGAGACAAAGACAAAGAGAAGTATGAATAAAAGAGGGTCAAATGTGCTACCATTTTGCCAGTTAGACCAAGGTAGGGATGGCTTAATCACCATAAAAGTCATCATGTTGGTCTTGCTGGTCTTCAAAAATATAAGTCTTAGAAAGTTGGTGTTTTGATGCTGCAGATGCCCTCATGCAATAGTCCTCCAAATGGACAATCTAGTAACTTCTTAGTTTTCTTCTTTTTTAGACCCTTCTTATAGTTTGTGGACTTTGGTTTTCAGCGTCTCGATGGTCAAGAAGCAAAGAAACTCAATGTCCAGTGGCTCAGAGCCCAACTCGGAATCGTGTCTCAGGAACCCATCCTATTTGACTGCAGCATTGCTGAGAATATTGCCTATGGAGACAACAGCCGGGTGGTATCACAGGATGAAATTGTGAGTGCAGCCAAAGCTGCCAACATACATCATTTCGTCGAGACATTACCCCATGTAAGTTAACGGGTAATTTCTTAGCTGAAATCAGAAGAGACTATGTTTTATACCCTAAACAATTACCAGAATTATGCCAACAAAATCTTGTAACAAAATATGTTGATTTACTAACATTAACAACCTTGGACAAGGCACTTAACTTCAGGATACCAAACTTCCTTATTTGTAAGTGGGAGTACCTCATGCCTACTTCATACAAATGTGCTGGGAAGCTCCAAACCACCATACTTCAGGTTGTAGATTAGTAGTTGAGGGCTACATTCAGACTGCAGTCATGTTTGATTAACTCTGTGGTGCTTTTGAAGCAATTAAAGTTTTTATTTTGAGATAAGTATAGATTCACATGTAGTTGTAAGGAATACAGAGATCTTATGTACCCTTTACCTAGTTTCTGCCAATGGCAATATCTTGCAAAACTAGTATACAGTATCACAAGCAGGATATTGATATTGGTACACTCCAACTGATCTTACTCAGACTCCCCTAGTTTTACTTGCATTCATTTGCAGCTGTATTGCAGATGTGGATTCATAGATCCACATCTATGTTTAGTTAAGGCACAGAACATTCCCATCCCCATAACGATCCCTTGTATAGTCCTTTTAGAGCCACACATACATTCCTTCCTCCCACCCTTACTCCTCCCAAACTCTGGCAATCACTATTCTATTTGTATAATTTTATATTTTAAAAGTGTTTTATAAAAATACATACAGTATGTAAACTTTTGGGATCATCTTTTGTCATTCAGCTAATTCCCTGAAGCTGTGTGTAGTCATAGGTCATTGCTTTTTATTACTAATTAGTATTCCACAGTATAGATGTACCACAGTTTAACCATTCACCTGTTGAAAGATATCTGGGTTATTTCCTGTTTCTGCCTATTGCAAATAAAGCTGCTATAAATACTTGTATTCAGGTTTTTGTATGGACCCAAGTTTTTATTTCTTTGGAATAAACACCCAGGAGTGGAATTGTGGAGCAGTGCGACAATTTCATGTTTAGTTTATAAGCCACTGCTCAACTGCCTTCCAGAGTGGCCATCCATTTTACATTCCTACCAGCAATGAATGAGTGATGTAGTTTCTCTGAATCTTTGCCAACATTTACTATTGTCATTGGTTTTTATTTTTATCATTCTGATAGGAGTGTAGTGATACATCACTATGGCTTTAGTGTGCATTTCCCAATGACAAATGACGTTGAACATAGTTTTTTGTATGCTTGTTTGCCATCTGTAGATCCTCTTTGGTGAAATGTCTCCATGTTGTTTGCTCATATTCTAACTGGATTTTTTTCTTTTACTGCTGAGTTTTGGGAAGTTTTTTTTTTTAAATATATTGTTATTACTGTTGGATATGTAGTTTGTAAATATTTTTCCCCAGTCTGTACCTTGTTTATTCATCCTGTAAGAGAGTCTTTTGCAGAGCAAAGGTTTTAATTGTGACGAGGTTCAATTTATGAATTTTTCCTTTTATGGGTCATGCTTTCAGTGTCAAGTCTAAGAACTTGTTGCCTAGCCCTAGGCCCAAAAGGTTTTCTCCATTTTTTTTTCTAAAAGTTTTATAGCTTTACATTTTAAACTTCAGTCCATGATCCATTCTGAGTCCACTTTAAACATGCGTAGTCCTAGAAGGATGGTTGAGGTCCCTAAAAGTGATGGTAGGGATCATTCATTTGATGGCACTCTTCCAACATTTGAAGTTCCACTGGGTTAAACTGAACTAGAGCTTAATTATTTTTGCTTTTATATTTTGCTATAGTTAGAAATCACTCATACCGACAAATAAAATTTTAAAAACCTTTCATGTTGGTTAGCCTTACCAGCCTTTAATGTATAGGCATTGACCTGAATCAAATATTGGATTTGACTGTAAATTAAAAAACTGACAGCTTAAGCTCTTAATATAAATGATGACTAGACTTTGGGAAATTAATTCACATGATATACATCACTGCATAAACCCTGCAAATAGAACTGCCTCCCCTTACATCTCTGTCCATATGTTGTTTCTCAGCCTAGAATGCTGTCTCAAAATCTAGCTTCCCTAACTTCTCTAAAAAGGTTTATTTCCCATTTTTTTTCCTCCTCCTACCCAGTCCCCACAACAATTTCTATCTCCCTCTTCTGATCTTTCATAGCATGCTGTGTATAGTACTACAGTCATGTGCTACATAACAACGTATTGGTCAATGACGGACTGGATATACCACAGTGGTTCCCATAAGAGTATAATGGTGCTAAAAAATTCCTATTGCCTAGTGACACAGCTGTCTTAATGTCATAGTGCAACACAATGCTGGCATAACAAACCTGTGCTGCCAGTTGTGTAAGAGTATAGCACATACTACTGTGTACAATGCATAATACTTGATGATGACAACAAATGACTTACTGGTTCATATATCTGTTATACCATTTGTTGTTTTATTAGTGTATGTAGATTCCCCCTATTTTAAAGAAAGTTATTATAAGATAGCCCCAGTCAGGTCCTTCAGGAGATGTTTCAGAAGGCAGGCATTACTATTGTAGAAGATGACAGCTCTGTGTGTGTTATTGCTCCTGAAGACCTTCCAGTGGGACAAAATATGGAGGTGGAAGACAGTGATATTATCTTGATCCTGTGTAGACCTAGGCTTATGTGTGTTCGTATTTTAGTTTGTAACAGAGAAATGTAAAGAGTCAAAAATAAAAATAATTTTTTTGAGACATCTGCTCTGCTACCTAGGCTGGAGTGCAGTGGCATGATCACGGCTCACCACCTCTGCCTTCTAGGCTCAAGTGATCCTTCCACCTCAGCCTCCTGAGTAGCTGAGACAGGTGCACGGCACCTCACCCAGCTAATTTTTTGTATTTTTGGTAGAGATGGGGTTTCACCATGTTGCCCAGGCTGGTCTCTAACTCCTGACTTCAGGTGAGTCACTAGCCTCAGCCTCCCAAAGTGCTGGATTACAGGTATGAATCACTGTGCCCAGCCATAAAAAATTTTAAACTGAAAACTTATGTAAGGATATAAAGGAAGAAAATATCTTTGTAAAGCTGTGAATTAATGTGTTTTTTAAGCTAAGTGTTATTACAAAAGAGTCCAAAAGTTCAAGAAATTTAGAAGTTCATGCCTGTAGTCTTAGCACTTTGGGAGGCGGAGATGAGAGGATTACTTGCGGCCAGGAGTTTAAGGCCAGCCTTGGCAATATAGGGAGACATAGTTTCTATAAAAACAAAAACAAATTAGCCAGGCTTGGTGACTGACATACTCTTATAGTCCCAGCTACTTGAGAGAGATTGCTTGAGCCCGCGAGTCCGAGGTTGCAGTGAGCTGTGATCACACCACGGCACTCCAGCCTGGTGAAAGAGTGATACCCTATCTCTAATATAATAATGATAATGATGATAATAACATTTATAAAATGAAAGAGTCAAAGTAAGTTAAGGTTATTGTTAAAAGTTGAAAATTTTAGTGTAGCCTGAGTGTACAGTGTTCATAAAGTCTATAGTAGTATACAGTAATATCCTAGGCCTTCACATTCTTATTGCCTCACCCAGGCAACTTTTAGTCCTGCAAACTCCATTCATGGTAAGTGCCCTATACAGGCGTACCATTTTTATTCTTTTATACTGCATTTTTCCTGTTCCTTTTCTGTGTTTAGAAACACGCATACTTACCATTGTGTTACAACTGTATTCAATACGGTAACATGCTGTATAGGTTTGTAGCCTAGAAGAAATGAGCCATACCATGTAGCCTACAGGTATAGTATTGAGATACCATCTGTGTTTGTATAAGTACTGTCCAGTGTTTGTACAACTATAGCATTGCCTAATAATGCAGTTTTCAGAACCTATCTCAGTCATTAAGTAATGCAGCACTGTAGTTTGGTACTTACTTGACCTTACATTGAATGATTTATATGCAGTGTTTTTCTCTGTAGACCATAAAGTCCTTTAGGGAAGGAACAAAGCTCAATTCATTTTCATATTTCTCACAGTTGTAGGCATAGCATATGTGCAGTAAATATTTAAGGGAATACATAAATTTGAAAGAATAAATTAGCATCTACATGGATCATATGAACATTTGAAATTTAAAAAAAGACTTGAAAAGTATTTGCATTTAACCTTCATAGGACTCCAGTAACACCAGATCAACTGGCATTATGATAATAGTAGGAACTTGAGAATTTGCTCAACTTTCTACTGTAGAATACCATTGAGAATTAAAGTCACTAGTTTTCTAGTTTGATTTTGAAAATAAATACTCAAGTTGGAAAAATGTCATAGAAACTGTTATTGACTCTAAATGTTTTTCTTGTAAGTAGAACTGACAACTGTTAAGCAACAGTTCATTCAACCTCTTTATGAGTTTGTTGACTTGCAGAAATATAAAACAAAAGTGGGAGATAAGGGGACTCAGCTCTCAGGAGGTCAGAAACAGAGGATTGCTATTGCCCGAGCTCTCATCAGACAACCTCAAATCCTCCTGTTGGATGAAGCTACCTCAGCTCTGGATACTGAAAGTGAAAAGGTGTGTGTGGTCTCCCAACTTACATCATATTTAATTTATGAAATAGAAGGGATGTTGCTGTTGACTATGAAAAAAACAAAAACAAAAACAAAAACAAAACATGAGCCCAGGGGGAAAAACACAGAACTTTAGTAGTGGTTATTTTGAAGTAATAGAATATTTTATTCCAAATTTTCTAAAATTGTTATATATTTTATAAACAAAGTAAAACATTCAAAAGAAAAAAAGCACAAATTACATTTTAAAAACACATTAATGAAAAACTGGAAATACTCAAAAGGGAACTAGTTAAATAAAATATAAAGATTAGAAAATTTAAATACTTGTGAAGGCTTTTTTACATCATGGGAACCCATTTGTGTTATATTTAAAAAGTATAACATAACTATGTAGATAATAATGTTGATTTTACAAAATACACATGCATAAAGTTCAAAGATCCAAAGAGATTAGAAATTAAAAGTTGATAAGAAAGATAACATTTTCAAATTTCCTTGAATATTAAAACTCATTTATACAATTTTTGGAATAAGGTATCTGTTTGATTATCAATAGGTTGTCCAAGAAGCCCTGGACAAAGCCAGAGAAGGCCGCACCTGCATTGTGATTGCTCACCGCCTGTCCACCATCCAGAATGCAGACTTGATAGTGGTGTTTCAGAATGGCAGAGTCAAGGAGCAAGGCACGCATCAGCAGCTGCTGGCACAGAAAGGCATCTATTTTTCAATGGTCAGTGTCCAGGCTGGGACACAGAACTTATGAACTTTTGCACAGTATATTTTTAAAATAAATTCAAGTTATTCTACAATTTTATCTGACTTGTAAAAGAAGTTTCTGGTTTGTCATTATAAAACGTAGGTATATCACATTCTAGATCAATCTAGAAGATCTAATTTGGTGTTTATTACAGCATTTGAAATTTGAGAGTTAGAAGTGACAACTGTCTTGATGAACTATTAAAACAGCAGGCTGGCTCTCCCTAAGTTATTAGAAACATCCGGAAAAAGAACAAAATTCAAGATAAGTATAGGTGTAGAAATATAGAAGACATAGGGAAATGGTCTTATGGTCCATTTTGAAGTAATAGAATATTTTATTCCAAATGGGTCTTATGGTCTGTGTAGACAGGATAAGAATGGTTTGTGTAGACAGGATAGTTTTGGCATAATTTTCCCAAGTACAAAAAAAAATAAGTTGTTCAATAACCTAATCTCTCAGTAATTTTCTAAATCATTCTATTGTGGAATCAAAGTTTTTAAAATGAATTCCCAGCTTTATCATCCAAGACCAAGAGAAAATGAAATTGCCCCTACCCAGCTAACTCTGCAAGCACATATCCATTCCATAAAGCAAGAAAGAGCCCTATTGTTAAGTATTTTTTAGTTTTAAACTCATTAATATAAAATATACATTTATCAATATAATTTGAAAAATCAAACATCAACAATACATACTGAGTTTCTATAGCAACTGCCTTCTCTTTTATAACTATACAACTTTTCCCAGAAAATTAATCTGTTCTTCCTACAAGGAAAGATATATTTAGATGGAAAGCCAAAAATACTCTAGGCAACCCCTGGAAACTAACCACACTGAAATGTTTCCATAATTTTCCCTTTGTTTTCTCCATTATTTTCTGCAACTAATTAGTTCTTAGTGCTGTATCAGGTTGTTAAAGTCAGTAAATTATCCAAGACCAGTTCTTTTCCTTTTTTTTAATTATTATTATACTTCTGGGGTACATGTGCAGAACGTGTACGTTTGTTATATAGTTTTACATGTGCCATGGTGGTTTGCTGCATCCATCACCCTGTCATCTACATTAGGTATTTCTCCTAATGCTATCCCTCCCTTAGCCCCCAACCCAGCAACAGGCCTTGTGTGTGATGTACCCCTTCCTGTGTCCATGTGTTCTCATTGTTCAACACCCACTTATGAGTGAGAACATGTGTTGTTTGGTGATCTGTTACTGTGTTAGTTTGCTGAGAATGATGGTTTTCAGCTTCACCCATGTTCCTGCAAAGGACATGCACTCCATCTGCACAGCTTATAGCTTGCAGTGAATGCCAAGAATGAAGTACTCAGACAGCGCCAGCTGAGCAGGACTAGGGAGTAGCTCTTCCGAGAGAGTCCACCCCAGCATCCATCTACCAAGTATTTATTGAAAGGGCTTGTATTCTACAAACATCCACTAGACGGTCATTTGAGGTGGGTTGCTGAGGCACCTGTGACCTTGTATACACTCAAACTGCATTCTGAGTAGGCTGTTTTCAGCATTTGTTAACACACCACACACTACACTCCCTGTCCTGTTTTCAGGGTCAAGGAGTTTCATTCCCATGCACAAATAACATACACAGTGCCTCAGTGTGTTTACATGCCCGACCTCAAATGCCATGTACATAAGCTTGAATATATATTGCTGTGTGCCCCCTTAATCTCCCCCTTCTTCAATTCTTAGAGCATGCTGGTCATCCCACGCAAGGTAGTGTCTATTGTTCTTCCTTGGTTGTAGATGTGACAGGTGGCAGCATAGAGCCATCTGCAGATGCCTAGCAAACAGATACAAAAAAGAGTAAGTATCGCGGCCATCACCCAAATGGGTATGTTTAATCCAGACAACCAGGTGTTCGGGTTTAACCATTAAAAGCCTCCCTGTAATTTGCGAAGGGTACTTGTTTATAATTGCCACTACCATTCTTCGAGGTGTTTCTTTAATTTACACTCAAGAGTGGAAATTTGAGAGGCAAATGGTCATGATAAGCTTCTTGCAGATGTGCTTTTCTAAATAACCGCAAGGTGGAATCTCCTTCCCAATTCCAGGGCAAATTTACAAGCAGCCACAATTCTGCGAGCTGTTTTAAAATCATGATACAGGTTATATTTAACTGTGTAACGTTTGGACGAGACAAGCATATAGCATAGTAGCTACTGGAAGAGATCTTAATATTATAAAGGATTGATTCTGCTCTATGTTAGGAACACCTTGCCTGAACAGAAGTATAGAAGGGTATGCAATATAAATCAGGATTATATTAGAAACATCATTGTGCAAAAGAGAGGGTATAGTTGCCACCACTAGTAATGTACTCACCATGTGAAAGAACCCTTTCAAAAAAAGGAGGACCTAGTCTCCAAATTTGAGTATGAGGAGGGCTTAAAATTTGTTTCCCTTTTAGTTGTAATATTAATCCTGAAAATCCACACTCTGACCAGGTGATAGAACTATTGGAAGGACTCCTAAATCCAATATTCTGATTTGCAGACATAAGATAATCATGGGGGCCCCAATCAAGTAAAGTGTCATTTTCAAACAGAGGCCCCTGAGGTGGTGCAGGTTGTCTGCACAGAGACCACTGGACAGCCTCAAACTTACACCACCAGTCCCTACTCAGACAGCATATAGGAAGATCAGGGACTTGCGTAACTTCATTAGACACCTCAGTAAGATTAGTAGTAACAGCAGAAATATAAAGGTCAAGTTTGCAAGCTTAGTGTCCCTTTTGGGATGATATTAATGATACTCCTGAGGAATAAGACTAACACACTTGTTGTGTGCTATTGTGGAAAAACAAAGACAGGAATTACTAGACAATAAAGTCAAGGAGTAATTAAGTTTAATCCATTTCAAATTTTTAGTTAAAGGGTAAGACAGGGGTATCCATTGACCTTCTGCCCAAGAAGTATCATTAGATGACAAAGATCAGCATCCCACCATGTAGTGACATTAAAAACGGGGGTTTAGAACATGACTCCAGTAAACATGTTCTTAAGCTGACCTCACTTGCCAAAGAACAAGAACTACCAGCCACCCTAACATCCATGGCTGTCTTACTTTCTCGGACATTTCCCCAACTCCCACCACATACATAAGAAACCGGTTCTCTGCAGTTGCAGGGGCTTCCACGGCAGTAAGCTGAGTAGTTGTGTGTTAATTCAACCTCTTTAGTTGTCCTCAAGTAAATCAGGCACCTTCCGAGTCATCACCATTATTGCTGGTCAATTCTCCAACAACAGGTCCTGTTCTCAAGGGGAGAGGCCCATGTTCCCCCTTTTCTGTTCATTAAAATACACTTTAAGAGTTTAATGAGGGCCGGGCGTGGTGGCTCACACCTGTAATCCCAGCACTTTGGGAGGCTGAGGCGGGTGGATCACGAGGTCAACAGTTTGAGACCATCCTGGTCAACATGATGAAACCCTGTCTCTACTAAAAATACAAAAAATTAGCTGGGCATGGTGGTGCGTGCCTGTAATCCCAGCTACTCAGGAGGCTGAGGCAGGAGAATTGCCTGAACCCAGGAGGCGGAGGTTACGGTGAGCCGAGATTGCGCCATTGCACTCCAGCCTGGGTAACAAGAGGGAAACTCCGTCTAAAAAAAAAAAAAAAAAAAAAAGAGTTTAATTAGCTCATTTAACAATGGCCTAACCGGTTGAGTTACAGGGGAGCCAGTTTTGTGTTGTATGTGTAAAAGTTGCAATGCATATGTGAATCAACAACTAAGATAGTAAGGTCCATTATCAGTTTTTATAGTTTGTGGAAGGCCCAAAGTCATAATAGATTTAAACAAATGAGTAACTGCATCTTTAGTTTCTTCTCCAGTCCAGGAGCAGCATGTAGCAAGACTGTATAAGTGTCCATGGTAACGTGGAGAAATTTAAAACATCAAATGGGTGGATACTGAATAATATCAGATTCCCAGATAGTATTAGGCACAAAATCTTGTGGATTGGCATTAAACTTTAAGAAAAAAGGAGAGAGAGAATGCCATTGGCAATCAGGACAAGTTTTAATATTTATGTGAGCTTGAGCAAGTGTCAAATGAAACTGTTGTTTAAGACTGAGGGCATTCTGATGAAAAAAGGCAGGATCAGCTTGAGCTTGCAAAAAGCAGAAGTCTGCAAACCACATTTGTGGTCATACCAGAGCATCAGCTCGAGTGTTCCCTTCTGATAAGGGACCAGGTAACCTAGAATGAGAGCGAATGTGGGTGATGTAAAGATGGTGATGACGGGCACAGAGGAGCTTTTGCACAGTAAGAAACAAAGCTAGAGGCCGGGCGCGGTGGCTCACGCTTATAATCCCAGTACTTTGGGAGGCCGAGGCAGGTGGATCACGAGGTCGATATCGAGACCATCCTGGTCAACAAGGTGAAACCCCATCTCTACTAAAAATACAAAAATTAGCTGGGCATGGTGGCGTGCGCCTGTAGTCCTAGCTACTCGGGAGGCTGAGGCAGGAGAATTGCTTCAATCCAGGAGGTGGAAGTCACGGTGAGCCAAGATTGAGCCATTGCACTCCAGCCTGGGTAACAAGAGCAAAACTCCGTCTCAAAAAAAAAAAAAAAAAAAAACAAAGCTAGTAGATTCATTAGTAATGCCCTTTATATGTGCAAGATTTAAGTGAGTAATGTGAGTAATACTATACACGGCATAAGCAGAATCACTAACTATATTTATGTCTTGGTGAGGAAAAGTTTATAAGGCCAGTATCACAACACCTAACTTCACCTGTTGCATAGTTTAAAAATGTTCCTGGATTTTGTGTTGCCAGTTTTGCATGGCATCTTGCCACACTCTAGCTGCTCTTCCAGGTTTTTCTGATCTATCTGTAAAGACAGTAGTGGTGTGAAGCAAGAGCTCAGAGACAGCAATAGACACAAATTCAACAGGCACAGTTTGTAAAAAGTTCGAGAGCTTAGAGGCTGGTAAATGGAAGCTGATATTACCAATAAAGTCAGCCATTGCTACTTGCAAATCAAGATCACAAGCTAGGAGAGTATGAAATTGTTCCTTAAAGTAAGAAACGTAGGAAT